GGCCAAATCCAACGAAAGGCAGTAGGCGTGCTTGTGCTTGATCCTCCTATGGGGTCGGTCTTGACCACTAGCCTCCTGACAAACTCGGCAGTCCCTCCTCATCGGGCAATGTCCCGCCGCGATGTGCTCCTGCCAACTCAGCTTCCGCAGCTTCACCACCTGCTTCCTGACCTGCGTCAGAATCGCTCTCGCCACTTCTCTCATGAGTCCTGGAGCCCACCTTGCGAGGCCTTACGCCAAGACATCTTTGCTAAACCTGGCCCGTGGCCCTCGCACTTGCCTGTCATCATCGCTTGTGAGGCGGAAAGGGGTGACCTTTCCCAGCATGTTCTTGATGGACTCCAACGTCTTGCCTTACATGTCGCAGTCAGGCTTGCAGCGGCCGGCAGTGCCAAGCGCAAACGCGCACCGCTCTCGCAGCGCTGACAAACAATTCAATTGCGGCACTCTTAGTTGACAACTAGCAGAGGGCGCTCTCACAGCGTGAACAACTGACAGAAATTGCAATCTATTATGTGCAGGCAAGTGTCGACAAGCATCATCTTTCAGGACACAATCCCAAACCTTCAAAGCCTTCTCCACGAATTCTTCGCTGACAGTCTCTGTCAACCTTGAAGAGGATGATTTCACTCTGAGGTCCACCTCTTCCATCCGGGCTCTCGACACCAGCCCTGTCACCCTTCTCTCAGGCAGGTCGATGTAGAGGTTGGTCCCCAATGTTGTCGGCTTTTGTGCTGCTCCTCCGAATTCCTAGAACTCGTACTCGGCCATGCCTTCCATCTCCTCAAATGCTTCCCACTGGGTCGTTCCCCAAAAGGTCGGGCATCCAGGCATGTACTTCCTGGGATCCGCCGGCTGCTCCAACACGAAGACAACCTGTGGGCCTCCCTTCGCATTCCGCGCTTCTTCCGCCACCAGGTAAGATGGCCAACATCCGCCACATCATCACGTCGTCCTCCCAGACCGCCTTTTTCTCATGCGTCGTGAGGTCGCTCCTCCCAAACGGCTCTTCTGGTGACCTAACCGGTCGTGGACCACCGCCAGGTAGTGGATAATGTTGGAGCACACTCCTGGTCCGGCAATTCGGCCACCGCATCGAAACGGGAATCCAACGCGCCCCGCAGCAGGGCTGCATAGAGCTCGTCCGACATCATGTCGTGCTCCGGCCCACGCTGCAAATCAATCTCCAAGACGTCCATGTGGTCGCCTCCAAGCTCCTTCACCGCCCGTTCCAGGGTGTATCCTTCACGGGGTCCCGCGTATAGGTGCAGGATGGCTTTCCGGTCTTTCTGCTCCAAGGATCTTCTCCGTCTCCGATTCCATGGGATTGCCCGCAATGTTTCCGCCGGCTCCACCAGAACCTTCCTTCGCACCTCCTCCGGTAGGTCACGAAATGCAGGATGTAGTTCCACCACCTTTCTGACCGTTTCCCAGTCCAGGACCTTCTTTAGCTTTACTTCGCTAATCCGGCCCTTCCTTTTCTCTTTCCCCTTTTTCTCAAGCTCCCCCGAGCAACTTCGTCGCCGTCCGCTGGGTCACATAGGGGCATCCATCCTCCATGTGAATCCGCAAAGCTCCCAGCTCTGGATGTACCACGCGGCACTCCTCCCCATCCCACGTCACCACGCAGTGCAACCTCTGCTGGTGGAGACTGGTGCAGACCCAACGGAATGATGCCCACGCCCTCGTCCTGGACGATGATGCCTCCCTCCGTGATCCGCATGACTTTCATCTCTCCTCCGGCCAGGGCAACATCGATCTCGTCCAGATTCTCGATGTCTTCACCTTCTTGCCGGGCACGTAGAGGATGCGTAGCTCCCAAGTCCAGTAGCCCACCATCACTCCACCTCCCTTGAGCGTTTACCTGGGCCTTTTTGAGAGACCCGGATCTCAACCCATTCAGCTGTTTCTGCAGGTCGTCCAAGCGGTCGTTCCTCTCGTCCACCTTCTTGACTCCCTGCGAGGCGTTGAGGCTCCGTAGCATCTTTGCTGCTTCCTGCAACACCCCACCCATAGATTCGTCTTTCCTCGAATCTTCCACTACCGCTTCCTTCTCCCGGATCGGCTTGATCTCCTCCTTCTTGGGTGAGGGTGCCGAAGCCGGTGTCGTCGCCACGTCGTTCTCCTCAGCCACCCTTCTCACAGCCGCCGGCTTCTCGGGTGATGTCGGCTTCTGCTTTCTGGGGCAGTCTTTCCTCATGTGTTCCACTGCGCAACTCCGGCCCTTTCTGCAGCCAGCGTCCTTCATGTAGAACCTGCGGGTTTTGTCACCTTTCTCTCACCCCCCTGGTTGCTCTGTTCCAGTTCGGCCAAGACGTGCTCCGCGAACTGCTGCACCGTTCCATGCGTCGGCACGCTGTCCACCCGCAGCGTGTTCCGGGCAAGGGAAATCCGGAACGTCAGCTCCCGGTTCGTCTCCACCACCTTTCGAATCATCTTGCTGAGGCCCCTCATCATCACCGTGGGGTCTGGCAACGCCAAGTTCATCTCGCTCGCCCGCCGCCTCCACCTCAGCCACTTTCTCAAACCCTTTGAGTGCCTCCGGGATCGTGGCAGCTTCCACCGGCTCCTCCAACGCCCGTAGTACCACTCCTTTTTCTCCAAGACCTCCTGGCACCGTATTCGTGGCGATCATCTCGCCGTCTCCGGAACCGCCTGGATGATGAGCGAGCGAAGCTGCCCGCCTTTCCAACCGACTCCATTTCCTTAGCCCCAACACCTCCGGCACCATGTTGACCCTGTTCAGCGGGATCTCCTTCATGTACTCCTCGTACCACTCGCGGGCCTCCTTTAAGAGTAGGTCCCACCATTCCATCGAGCTGTCACTCAGGTCCGACATCAGGGGATGGATGATGGTGAACCAGTCCCCTAGATCTATTGGACCATTCTTCGGGCTAAATTCGCCCAGGCGAGGCAACTCCGTGAAGCCCGCCTTGACCGTCTCGATGGTCTCCTGCTTCTCCTTCTGGTCCAAGAGCTGCTTCTGCATCATCTGCATGCCCTCCATGAGCTTCAGCATTACGTCCATCTGGTTGCCATCCTTTCCGGATCCGGCCACATCGCTTGCCCTTTCCGAAGCACCGCCATCCTGCTCATCCCGAGCATTTCCTTCTTCACCACCAGCTCCAAGTCCGCCTTCTCCGACCTTGCCATTCGGGGGGTCGCGGGTCGGGCCGTAGGGCTCGTGGTTCTGATTGTCCCTGACCGTGATCGTGCCGTTCACCTTCTCCCGGCTTTCCGGCGTGCCGTAGTCAGCGTCCGTCTCCTTTCCTTGCTTCTTCCACACTTCCACCTCATGCTGAAGCCTCTGATTCCGCGTCATCAACTCCTGCATCATCTGCGTGAGGTAGACCGGGTCCACTCCCGTTGCCAATGATGTCGTCCTCGCATCCTGAGACACCGCCATCATCTTCATCATCTGGCCCTCCGGCTCCGGGTTCTCCATGGGTAGGTACCTCGGTCGAAGTTGGCCACCACCCGGATTGTCTCCCTCCAGGCTACTCTCCACGGGCAAGTGCGCCGGCCTCGGTGGGTCCATCCGCGGTCCCCTCAGCAACGGTGCTTTCTCGTCCCACTTGCTGAACTCCCTGATCTGCTCCGGGGTGAACAGAGGCTTCATGGCTTCTGGCTCTCCTTCCGGTCCATTTGGCCACCTGCGTGGAGGCTCCGGATCGAGGTCCTCCTCGCTCTGGCCTGGCTTGAGTGGTGTTGCCGTGAGCTCAAGCGGCTTCACCACCTCCACCATCCTCCTCGGAGGCCTTCTGCCTCCAGCAAAGGGCACCATTTCCTGCCCTATGATCTCCAGGCCCTCCACCTCCGGTTCTTCTCCTTCGGCAGAATCGAGCCTTTCTCGAGGTTCTCCACTTCCTGATGCCCTTGTCGGTTCCATTGCCGAGCGAGGGCCCCTGTTTTAGGGGTTTGGGCTCATAACCTGTGGTGCCGCTATTCAGAAGCGGTCTTTTCCTCGACACAAAAACGGCTCCCATTGTGCATGGTTGATTGCCTATACATGAACTCCTATGTTTCACAGTAATATTTCACCAGGGTGAAATAAGGTGGTTGGGATATTCCCCGCATAAACCCAGCATTTGGGGTGAATTCGGGGTGAAACCCAGCATTTGTGGAGCTCCAAAGGGGCCGATTTGCTCAGCCATGAGTTTGGCTTTCTGGCCAACCGTTTTTTTGTTTTCAAGCCCTGAATCTTTTGGTACTGGCTACATTTTAAATGGGTCAGAAGGAGACTCCAGGCCTATAGTAAGGCCTGTATATACTTTATATCCATGTTGCCCAGAGGCTCCGATCGGCTTCGGCTTATGGAAGGCCTGACCCCGAAGGTCGTCGAGACACCCCGAAGGAATTGGTGCTTGGGACCCGGGAATTCTCAAAACCAGGTTAGGCGAAGGCCCTAAATCAATCGAATTGGAGCCTCCGGGTACCCAGACTTCTCAAGTCACAACTTGGAAGACCATTTTAGTGGTCTCCGTTTGGAAATGCGTCCACTAGCAAAACAAAGTGACAGCTTACCTTTAAAACCAACAGGGGGACGTAACACATATCCTTAAGCAAATGGCAGGTGGCGATTGATTCTAATTGCAAGGGTCTTAGTGGGCGGGCATACCCCAGTTTACCCTGTAACATGTGGGTATTGCGTGTAGGAGGTACAAGTATACAACATATGTTAGGTCGGGGACCCCCAAAACAGTTCGCTTCCCCAACAGCTCTGGAATCTCTCAAACCCTCTTTTTGAACCCAAGAATGGTCCCTGGGGGTAACACCATCATTAAAACAGTTGGGGGGGGGAATATAACTACCGTTCAGGATGACAGGGTCCTTGCCCTTTGGGGGGTCCGATTCCAAAAACAACAACACCTAAGTCGAGGGCCAATATTTTCATCGGGGCAAGGAACTTCAGGGCGGTTGGTTTCCCTTTTGTCTCTCAGGGTCTTGGGTCTTGGGGGTTAGTCTTAACGCTCAAAAGATCGCGACGCTGAGCCTCAGGCAACTGGGAGGGGCTCCTGAGCGCAGGAAGAACCCCGGGTGAACGGAGAGCCCTGCAAAACATCTGGCATATGGACGGCTTTACTTGCAAAAACGCCTGTCTGCTGCTTTGTGGTAAAAAAGACAACCAATTCCTGCTCATTTCAAAAGCCAGCCAGACACGCATGTCAGGTTAAACCAGAAAAAAGAAGAAGAAAAAAAACACGGTTTGGAATAGTTTCCGTCGATGGCCCAGACGTCCCCCTCTACCCCTCTCTCTCTCTCTACCCCTCTCTCTCTCTCTCTCTCTCTCTCTCTCCGTGTGTGCTTCTCCACCTGCTACAAATACCCTATCATGGAAGCTGACACGGCAGTTGTGGAAGCTTTCACTTTGGGCAAGACCTGCAGGATAGATTCTACCACGTTACATCGAATTGCATTACATACAGTATCACCAAGTGCAGTAGTATACAAATTATGTTGCTTCTATGCTAGGTCCTCCAGTGGAGAGGTTAGAGTAAGGGTACCCTTTTTCTGTAATATATTTTAGTAGGGGACTCCCCCCAAACAAGGGTGAAAGGGCACCACTGGGGGACCTTGTATGTGTTCTCGACGGAGAGGCGATCGATGCAATCCCACCCCTTCCTCCGTGACCCGCAGGCGGACGCTTGCGCATTCTGCGGCCTCACGCGAAGATTCAATCGCGCGCGGGCCGTGCGCTTGTCTCAAAAATATCAGGCCCAACAAATGGGTGAGTTCCCATTTGGCTACAAAACCCAAATCGTACCCCCAGTGAACATCCGATTCAATCCCCACTGAAATAGGTTCTAACATGGGTGGTGAATTCACCAACCGACCAAAATGGGATCCCATTGGTGTTGACAACCACGGCCATTTACCGCCCCGACCGTTGACCCGACTTAGACCCCCTGCAAAAAGCCAAAAGCTTTTGCTCCCCACGTCACAGCGCCGGTGCTCTGACCACGAGCCAACGAGATGTTGAGATCTTCGGCATATGAGGCTGCCATGCCCCAAGTGCGAGGGCAAAACGGGTGAAAGAAACGGCTGGGCAACGACACAGGGCAAAACCATATTTTTTGACAGGCTGCCTACGGGCTGCGCCAAAAGACACGGACCCCGAAATGACGCCGAGTGACGCGAAGACACACACTGGGAAATTGAGCGAGCCCAAAAGGATCAGAGTCTGGGTAGTTTGATCGAACTTGGACACTTTTCCTCAGGGCCCATTGAAAAGTACAGCTGCTTGGATCACTTACCCAGTAACCTTTATTTGCTTACCCTCCTGGGACAAAAAAGCAACAGTAGTGATATAGTGATAGTTTCCCTTTAGAACAACTGGAGAAACAACACTTTTTCTCCAGCACATGGAAGGTGTGTGGCGAGTCAAGTAGAAATCCCCACTAAACCCAGGGACAGCCGAAATTAATAGCCAGGGTTGATGAATATGGGGTCAACATTAAATGCAACCCAATTCAGGGCCTTACTACCCGGGGTTTCTACCCGCTCTATTGGGAATGATAAATGAAAAGTGCGCTCTCGCCGCGCGCCTCCGCGTGAGGAGATGCATCCATACCAAATGCAGCGCGCCCGTAGGTGCACACGTAGATGTCAATACTAGTTGGGGGCAGCTAGTCATTGCGTTCGTGTCTCTTTCTTTGAGGGTATGCATTTGGAGGTTAATGTGAGGAAAATTCGCCGAGGTTCGGGAACATCCACTATTCTTGGAACCAATGTCCATGTCTGGCCTCATTCTTCAATGATCTTCACTTCCGGAACTCCAAGAATGCTTCGTGAGAAAAGTCGGCCTCTCTGGAAAACTTGTGCGAGGTCGAGCGCATTCTTTGGCCCAGCTACATTTGCAATATGTCACACAGGTCCACGTGTCCAGTTGGAGAGTCTACTCTTTCCGAAAACTGGGCGGAGTTGCCCCGCAATTCCACTCGGAGCATGTTCGAGCCCAGATTAATTCGCACAAGTTGTGCCTCCTGACGCCCGTGCACACACCCTAGGGTTCAACCCCGGTTAAAAGAATGGCCTTGGGACCCAATTTAGATGATGACGATCCTTAGGTAAACAAAGCTGGCGATATTGACTCCCAGTATTTTAAGTTGAAGTACAACCCGGGGTTGCTTTCAGGGGTCTTTTTCGCTTTTCGGTGTTAAGCCCGCCATTGTTCCTGACTCAACCCCGGGTGCGGTTATCACACATTGGATATTCGTCCGAGCCTCAACTAGGGAGTGCCTGTGGCGGTTGAGATCAAATGGTCCCGGTAAACATGGGATGACCAGTACGGAACCCACTAAACAAATAATACTGTGGATGGACAAAATCCTGCACCACCGAAGAAAGCCTGGAATGATGATTCCCCTATAAATACCAACAAGCAATGGTTTCCCATGGTTTCCATGTGGTGCAGGATTTCGTCCACCCACAGTATTTCCCACGAAATGGAAAAGCTACCCATGGTGGCAGGAATTTGCGCAACCCCCATGTGCCAACGAATTCTTCACCATAATGAGGATGAATAAATTTGTCTGTCGGCTTCAGCTAACAGGTTTCCAGCAGCAATCGATTCCCAGTAAAATTAAACACCTGCAGGGGAAAACAAACAGCATACTCTTCAGGAAATGAAGTCATAGGATGAATAAACTTCCAAGTGCGGGACGAAATCCCTGGCTCAACTCTACTGCCCCAAAACCTCTGGTATATTGGCAACAAGGTCACTTCTGAAGGGTCCTCCTTGCTGGTCTCTCGAGTGTATATAGACTCTGAAAGGCAAGGTTACACAGCGGTCGATCCTTGTGTCCCTGTTTTTGGATGTGGCTGAAATACCATCCGGGCCGGTATGAATAAAGCTCCCCTCTTTGTCACGTTTGTTTCGGGGCACTCGATTGTTCTCCCAAAAGATCCTTTCGGCAACTTTTGTCGGTGCTTTCAACAACCCGTGATTCTTCATTAGAAGCCCATTTTGACTGGTTGCCCCACGGCATGACGACGGGTGAACAGTTCATTGAATATTCCTTAAAGGGAAACCGCATGAACGTCGAACGATCCATCGTTGGAGTTTGTGTTTGCCTCTTTTCCGGGTTCCATTTCACTTTTGGGGGTTCCCCTTTCTAATGCAGACTTCTTTTCGCCGCAGTCGCAACCAGTCTCTTCGACCAGTCTCTCTGCAAAGGCAACGTGACCGAGGGCACGTGAGCGATTTGGGTGGGAGCGGCTGTTTCGTGAGCCCTAGGGTTGAAACCATTTAAAACATTGGGTGTTCATATAACAGGGATCCTTACATTATACACATGAACATTGCAACTTGTAAATGGTGGTGTCCAACTTGATTTTGGTGTTGAAAAATTGCAACATGTCTCAAACGGATGGGCAAAATGTCGATCTTTTTTGTGGAGCCCTGTATAACCGCCATTGTTTACCCAAAAATTGTCATCCAAATTGGGTCCCAAGTCCATTCTTGGAATGGAGGCTGAACCCGAGTGAGAGCTGATCCTTGACACTTACCAGTTCATCATGGGGGCTGGGGGGGAGGGAGGGGAGGGGGAGGGAGCCCAAATAAGCCCTAAATAAGGCCTTATTAACCACCAATTGTCTATCTCCTACTCTAAGACACCCATCTGGAAGTCCCCAAATGCTTCACGGAGGTCGCATGGGTGCGCTAGGAACCGTCACAAGGCGTCCCGAAATTGTCTCCGGATGGTGACTTCTGGCCGTTCTCAGCTGGACGAAGAGAAGCATGCGGCATGCTCCCTCTTCGTGTTTCAGCGGTTCCGGCTTCAGCTCGGTTGCTTTCTGCTCCCCTGCTAAAAGTTTAACTTTTAGTGGTTTACTGGAAAGCCGACTAGTTAGCAAAAAAAGTTATAAAGTCTTAACATCCAAGCAAAATGCACCAGAGTCATGGTCTCTCATTCAAATCAGGCAAGTCTTCGCCCAACCGGTCCCACCCTGGCACTATACACACGAAGAAAACACGATGAATTCTTCATGCAATGGACGGAAACGACCTATCCGACCTATCCGTGAGACGCTGAGCAAAGTGAGAGCCGAAATCAAGACTTGAGCACAAGCATTGCCTTCTCAATGTCAAGCCAAGCTATGTCAACATAACAGATCGGCTCTCACGATTCCATCTGTCTTTGACAAAGGCCGCTGACGAGACTAGGTCACATGCAGAGTACATTTGCAAGTGGAATGGGGGCAAGCATGCAGTCTTCCTCGCCTCTCAAACGCTTGCAACTTTGTCTTTTTTGGGGGGCCAAACCTGGTTCTATATATTTTAAATTTAGGCTTCCCTTTGAACGGAATTCAAAGGGAAAGCAAGCGGTCTCCACCATTTTGGTGGCCCCATCCCGTTTGACCCAGATAAGCAGTTGTATCTCGCCCCTGGCATCGCGTTCAATGCTCCACTTGCCCTGAGGGTCGCATCAGCCCTCCTGCTCTTCCTGCTCCGTTTGCAGCTCCTTCAGCTGCTGCGTAAGGCTTGCGACCTCGAGAAAAAGAGGAAAACAAACGTCGACGGCGCTGGGTTCTGATGTTAGAATGGGTACCTCCCCTCCATTTTGTCTCCCATGTTGTGCAAAAGGTAGGCTTCAATCCCGAGCCAATCCAAACCAACCAAGGCCCTAGGGTTCCTTGCCCCCATTCAATGAATGGCCTAGGTTGGGACCCGATTTGGACGACGACCAGGGTCATGGTGGACGACCCTGAACAGTAAATGGTGGTTATATTAACCCAACCATTGTTTTGATGGTTTGAACCCCAGGGCTATGGCTATTGAACCAACCAGGGCCATGGTACGTACAAGTCTACGTGGCCGCTTTATCGGAGCTCCCTAGCCAACTCGAAAAAATTGATCCCCGCAGAAAATGGCCCAACCCGGTTCCCAGGCGGAGCCAGGAAACCGTTTTGTGACTTGGGTGATTTTGTTTCCAGGGGAACCTTTAAATGGTGGGGTGTCCTTTTTCTTCCCCGTGAAATCCACAAACAGGGGGGTACCGACTCAAAACAAGACGCACTTAAACCCAGCGGTTGGTTTGCGCGGGGGGCCGGCGGCCAAACAGGGTTGCTTGGGGTTCAAGCCACCATTAAAGCAAGGGGATGATATAACCGACATGGTTTACCTAGTGGTTGTCATCCTCTAAATTTCCTTCAAACCTTCTTTGATCGGGGTTGAACCCTAGGTTGTGATGGCGTAGGCCTTGCCATAACCTTCTTGTAACCCGGTGGAGCACACCCTACACTCCATTTGCGAAAACGTCCCCCAGCAGAATGAGCGGTGCAATCGATTCCCTTTAAAACAGAAATGGTGTCCACTGAAACGATGGCAACTTTTAGAGGTTCCCAAAAGGGAAATTGGGGAAGCCTTTGGAAACAAGATGGCCCTGGTAAATGGATCAAAGGCCTTCTAAACCAGTCAAACCCGTCCAATGTCCTAGGGATCGCTTCTGCAATTCTGCAACTGGATAGGAGGGCAGATGTCAGAGGTTGACTTTCAGCCCTAAAAGGGCTACTTGGAGTAAGGCGGGTTCCACGGATTTATCGCGAGTCACTTGAGTGTGTTGTTCTACCCCGCTTTGTGGCCGTTCAGGGACACCAGAGTCGACGAAGCACATATAGGAGTGCCTCTTTTTTTTTGAGTTGGTACCCCTTTTTGCTGTGGTTTTTGAAGCACGTCCACTCTCACTGATGCTACCCCTGTTCTTGTTGTTTTTGAGCGCCTCTTTTGGTTTGTGGTTTCGAAAGAATTCCGTACAGAAACAACACCAACATAGCGGGGACAGACACCGAAGACAAGTTGATGCGCACATCTCAGCGATGCCCCCAATCGTCTCTGCCGTTTAGGTGGCTTTGCCATAAACCGATTAAAATAATGGCAAAGATCCAATTTAGATGATGGTAAACAATGGCGGTTACATTCGCACCCATTGTTTGTAATGGTGGTTTGCACACCAGTGTCCTGTTTGGGTCAGTTTGGTCCCCAAATGGTTCCAAAAAAAATCAGACCCTGACCAGCCCCCCTCCCCTCACCACTGCCCCCGGCGATGCAGCCACATGATGAAATAGAGCCATTGACTCCAAAGGTCTGGATACAAGCCCCCAAACAACCCAAAACCTAGGTCCTCCAGAGAGGTTAGAATAAGGGTACCCGATATTATTTTTTCTGTGCAGTCTAGTTTAGTAGGGGAACGGAATCTCCCCCCAAAAAAGGGGTGAGAAACGGTACTACTGGGGGACCTAGCCTATGGTCTTTTGGGGGTCCCTTAGAATGAGAAGCCACTTCAAAGCTCAAGGGAAGACTCGACACCGTTTGTTGAATTCGGGGTTGCCAGAAAAGGGGTGTGTCATCTTTTAGGGTACCCTTGTTGGATTGGAACTTTAAAGGGAAACCAAAGGAAGCAATAGCCTTCTTGCGGGCCTCCTACTCTCACTTCCTGGGTGCATTGGACAAGTCTTCCCAAAAAGCATAAAGTGCGAGACGGGACTGAGGGAGTGAATATCAGGGGGAGGAAGGGAGGGAGGGAGGGAGGGAGGGAGGGAGGGAGGGAGGGAGGGGAGGGGAGGGGAGGGGAGGGGAGGGAGGGAGGGGGAGGGGAGGGGAGGGGAGGAGGAGAGGGAAGGGGGGAGGGGAGGGGAGGGAGGGAGGGGAGGGGAGGAGGAGAGGGAAGGGGGGAGGGGAGGGGGGAGGGGAGGGGAGAGGGGGAGGGGAGGGGAGAGGGGGAGGGGAGGGGAGGAGAGGGGAGGAGGGAAAGGGGGGAGGGAGGGAGGGAGGGCCCTAGGAAAAACCAAACACCTCATCCCACTCAAACCGGTCTGCCCAACAAAGCACAAAGTCCAAAACGGAACTCAGGGAGTGAGTATTTTAAGACACACCCGTAACGAGAAGCTGAGTCGAAGAAAAAAAAAAAAACTTACTTGAGGCTTATTTGGGCTCCCTCCCCCTCCCCTCCCTCCCCAGCCCCCAATGAAAGTCACTAAAAATGGATGCAGACCTCGCCTTCGCCTCCAGCTCCGCATTCTGGCGCCGCAGCTCGTCGTTGTCCGCTCGGAGCTCTTCCACGTCGACACCTGCTTCGAAGCCGCGCGGGGAGTGAGGCACCCCTTGGAGCTCCAACAAAGACCCCTCCATTAGACACCCCGGAGGTGCTTGGGACCCGCCCTAAATCAATCGGGAGCCTGTGGGCAGTAAAAATACCCGCCCGCTCCAACTCAACGTGTTTTCCCCCCCATTAAAACAAAATCTGTTGTGTCTGTTTCTGCAGTTGGACTTTGACGGTCGATACCTCCTCACATCATCGTACCCTGAAACGAGTAGGTCATTTTGGGGCATGGTCACAATATGAGATGCCCTGCAGGACATGGGACATCTGGTGAGTCACTGCAAATGTTGTTTCTTTGGTGGAATCTTGGTTCCCCCCCCGCCCCCGCATATTGTGGGAAATTTGGTGAGTCCCCCTGTCCATCCCAAATCAACCATAGTTTGACCGAGCCTCATGCTTAGCCCAAGTTAATTCCCGGAATATTGACAGTTGCTGTGAGTCACAAACAAAACATGGTACTGAAGTGGTCTACCTAAAACCATGTAAACCTTGTACATCAACAACCCGGAAAAAGCACATCGCAATTGTTTGAAGGCTATCTGGCTGGAAAACTAGGTTTTCGAGATAGATCCTCATTTGTCTGTAGCTGTTTGATGTAGCTGAAAGGAACTTTGAAGGCAGCTGCACCTATGTTAATGGTGACTGTCCCTTCCGAAGGGTCTTGATGGATCGTATACCTACAAAGGACTATGAAACCAGTCAACCCAGGTCCTCCCAACCATGATTTGCTCATGTCTTGTACTGGTTCTGTTCCCAATCGTGGATCTTCGGCCAACTGAACGGAGGACATATAAGTGGGTTATAACCTAGGCTGCCAACAACTTACTGACTTGGCAAATCAAACACCCAAGTACTTGCTACGTAAGTTGGCGAAAGTTCAGCTTTCTTGCTTCCTGCTTCTGGCCGAATCGTCCACTCAGGTATCTCAGCTCAGATGCATGGAACTTCGGAATGCGGAAGACTGAATTCGATTTTCCAGGCCAAAACGGGTACCAGGCAAGCCCCTTTTCTAGAAAACGGGCAACGTGGTCGGTGTCCTTTTGGTTTACAGGGTTCCCTCCAAACAAGACACACCCAAGGGGGGAAGCCTTGGTGAATTCAACGCTTTCCTTTTGGGGACATGGGATCGATTTTCGGAGGTGGCTCTGACTAGGGTCCTCCTGTTGACGAATGATTCCGAGGTTTACCCTCTCTCCCACTAACAGGGCACCTGACAAGGGGTCCCTCCAAGAGGAAACTGATCTTCCGGGTATCCTCCTACAGGTGCCATGTTAGTGGGAGTAAGGGTAGATTGGAACATCGTGGGGTTTGGGGGGGGGAGGGGAGGGAGGGGAGGGAGGGAGAGGGAGGGGAGGGAGGGGAGGGGGAGGGAGCCGAACTAGCTCTTATTCAGCCCTTGATAAGGCCTTACTTGGGCTCCCTCCCACCGCAGCCCCCATAAGGCGCCAAAAGACAAGTCTTGAAACTGAGTCATAGTTGGACTCACTTGGGGAGTAAAAAAAAACACAAGACACTTTGCTGGGTACGGATGGCTGCCCAACTGAAAGCTACAACATGGAGCCCAAGAGAAACACAATAGTTTCTGAGTCAACCAGCTGGGGAAAGCAATGAGATAAGCAAATGGATTTCCGAAAAGAACCTCTTTTCAATGGTGGAAGCAAAAAGGAGTCCAATCTATTTTGAGGCTCCCTGTCCAAGTGCCCGACAATATTACGACCTGAATTCATAGAAGGCCATCCAAAACAGCTCAGGTGCCCTCCCAAAACGACGCCCTTGTAATATTGTCTTTTGCTCATATGATCAATATGGGTCTCAACATACGGGAGCCCATATAAAATGGCAACAGTGTCCCCTTCGGCTTCCCTTTTAACGCAGCCCGAAAAGTGTACCGAGCCTCAAAAAGAGACGCCCATATTCTGAGGCTGCCTCTCTAAGACTCTATTCCTCGCCTGTCGGCGCACCCAAGTACTTCTTGATGTAGTCGATGGCCTACAGCAATGCCAAGGGACTCGGGAACCCCACCTCCTTATTCAGCCTTCGGCCTTATTGCACCCTACTTGGCCTTACTTGGACCTTATTTCACGTTACTTGCCCTTACTTGGGTCTTATTGCACCGTATTTGGCCTTTCATGGGCTTTGTTTCACCTTGTTTGGCCTTCCTGGGGTCTTATTGAGCCTTACTTGGCCTTGTTTGCCCTTTCACAAGGCTTGCTATTCTCTCGCCCCTTCGAGGGCTTTGTGGGTGGCTGGAGGTCAAAGCTTCGCTCGGGTCCCCAGACTTTTTGCCTTTCCACTTCAGGAGTGCGTGACATCAAGCAAGCCACTAGGACCAGCTTTAGAATTTCTTGTAAGCTGATCCCTTGGCAAAATGGAAGGGAAACCAACAGGAAGACCACTTCTTCTTTTTTTTTGGGGGGGGCACCCATATGAGGGAGTTAGTGTATGTCCCAGCTGCAAAGGGGCAAGACGCAACCGGCATCCAATCCGCTTTACAATGACCCCGCAGGAGCAACACCGTCGAATTCACAGCAAGCTGCTCCTCTCATGAATCCCTGCGCACACCATCTCTCAACATCAACCACTGACTTCCTGAATAAATTGCCCAGAACAAGTCCGAACTTATATATATATATTATATATATATATATACATATATTACCACTGCATGACGTGTTTCTGCCAAAAAGTGACTACCCTCCCACTAATTCACGCGGAACCTGACGTTCGGGGGGTCCTGGTTTGGACCATTTTCCTTTTGAAGGGACCGGGTCCTGGACGTCAGGTTCCATGCTACTTATGTGCAATTTTCCTCGGGACTCAAGCTGTCCCAAAAAAAAACTTCCTTTCGTCCGTTCCTTTTGAAAAACCAACCACCGAGAGAGGAAGGAAGGAGTGCCCTCCTTGAAAACCTTTTGTCTGTTCCTTTTGTTGCGAAAGGCCCTCCTTAAAAACCATCGGCCGAGAAAGCTCCACGGCCAGGGATGCTAAAGATCAAGCGAACCCAAACATGACCCCCATGAAGCCCCCTCTCGGGTGGTTGCCTCTTTTACTATTTTTGGCCTTGGAATCAAGTGGTAACCTTTTTGGTATCTTGGTGCCAAGAATCGAAGAAGTTTCCTCCGAAGTCCGATGGACAAAAAACTTGTCCAATCCATGGCAATGAAACGATAACCTTTGTTGGTATTTTCAGGGGAGTCATCATTCCAGGGTTCACTTAGGTGGTGCAAAATGGATTTCGTCCAGCAACAGTAGTTTCCCTACACCAAGAGCGAATATCGCACATATTTCTCAGTCTTCCTTCGGAAACATATGTGGGTAAGGCCTCCAAACGTCCCTCCCTTGCATTTGCGGGGGTGGGGTTGGCCACGGTTATAGGAGTAAACTACTAACTACTAGCCGTAGTTTGCCCAGAAAGCAGGCTTTCTCGAAATTGAGCAGCCCCAAAATGTGGTGGGTTTCTCTTCATTTCCCCATAACAACCAACCCCCGTGGTGGTACCAACTCCCAAAATAACAAGACCCAAAGTGGCAAAACACAGTGGACGTCAAAAATTGCCCGAGGCGCATTGGCGGGGCGCTCCGGCTCTTCATAAAGGCCCACAAGCACGCGGGTCAGCTGGGAGATGATGCCGTTCTTCCTGAGTCGCAAACAGAGTGTGCGAGTTATTACTGACACTTCCTCAGTCAGACACAAGCTACTAAGTCTGTGTGTGTGTGTTTCTTATCCGTTGTCAAACGATCCTATCCGGTCAACTGCGGAACAAGTTGACAAGCGCAGATAGTACTATGACAATGAGTATTATCATGATTGTTACCATGGTGATCATTGTTCCATCTAAACACCCTGGGGGTCAACCAATAACCACCACCATTAACATAATGGCAAGGACCCGATTACAATGATGATGTTGTAAGGCCTCATCTTTCTGGCAGACTACTGTGGACACAATCCTGTGCAGCATGATTAGAATAATGGGAAAAATCACCTATCAACTGCGAAGTGCAGTTCGCCTGTGCGCAGTATTCTGCCTGACCGAGAACAGGATCGCTATGAAAGGTCTTTCTTCGTAGATAAGGGTCAGATGGAAGATGATGCGGTTCTTCCGAGTCGCAAGGGTTCCATCTGTCTGGCAAACTATCATAATTCACCAATCGAAAATGCCACTCCAGCTTTTCTGAGTGGCTCGTTGATCCCATGCAAAAAGTTAAACTTGTAGTGGGCCATCTGGTATTGCGGCCCCCCCACTAAACATGAACAGAACCAACAAAAGCAAAAACCAAACAGCTTGCCAACAACAGTGTAATTGTTAACCTAATTGAAAGAAGGGCATGGCTGGGAACCGCCAAGTGTTGAAAACCTTAGGTCTTGACCAGGGGCGGTTCATGCTGGTGAAGCTAGGTTCAGTCCCGGAAAGGTGCATAAGTGCACCTAAACGAGAAACACCCTAATATGTCATGACCAAGATGCAAGCAAGAAACTATGTCTTTCCATTGTGAGTTGTTATATACTTGTTGGCAATAACCGACCCCCAACTCAACTCCAACTATCATTCTGATGTGGCGTATCCAAAAAACAGGACAACCAACAGGACGTCTGGTTTTGGCTCGCCATTGAAATCACCCGATTGGACTCAGTTTAGTTCCAAAAGGAGCCAATCGAATGTTCCTAACAATTGCAAGATGTCCATTAAAAACTGCTTTCAGTCACCCCTGCGCAAAGGTAGCTTTCTGGTTGAAATGGAACGTAAACTAATTGGACAACCAAAAGCCGCTGGGGCTCTTCAAAATGGTGGGTTGGCCATTCCTAATCCATGATCCCCGTGGAGAAACCACTACAAACGGGACCCCGTCCGCAACCCAAAAGGATCTTGCGGATTGCGCCTTTGAACAGCCGCAAAACCTTAAAGGTGAGCCTTTGGTCTGGCAATTCCGACTCCAAATACCACCGAAACTGGTATGTTCTGAAGAGCCCGGTTTTCCACGACGGTCAATGTCTCGTGTTTGTTTGCTGGCATCATGTTCAAACCCGAAAACAAATTGGGGCAGTGGGGGTCACAATGCTTAATCAATCCCTACCTCTCTGGCCCAAATGGGCCAAAAGCGCGTGATGCTTCAAACCGGTTTTCGGTTTTAGAACAACTTGGGACCTGACCTCATGAGACGGGTGATTTGTTTTGCAGAACCCCATAGTTCAAGCCCGCAGTTTATGATTCCTTTTGCTTCCCCCGTCAATTGCGCATTTTGCTTCAAACCAACCAAAATCAGCTTCCTCCCCCACTTCGTGGTTTTGAATCAGGTGGCTTGGTTACTCCAAAGGCAGGATCCAAACCACCAACCAACCTGACGGCGTACCTGTGCACAAAGGGGCTCCCTTACAAACGGTACGACCCCTTGCCGGGGATTTTTTGTTCTACCCCAACAGTGTTTTTTTCCACCGCAGTCTTGGTCTAGGGCTGCTGGCTTAGGGTGGCCTTAGTCCCCCAACGGGGTGAAACATATAATTCCCCGTAAAAATGGCTCACCCTTAAAGCCTCCGACCCCCACCCCACCCTCGCGTTGGTTTTTGGCCCAGGCTCTCCAGGTACTTGCGAAACTCCTCCTTCTGCGAGTCGGCGGTCTCGTAGCTCATGGCCTCGCGACTCGCGACTCGCACCCACAAGCCGCGAGGCGACCGACCCCCGAAGCGAGCCGAGGCCATGTGTCTAAGGCTTTGGGGGCCTATTCCGGGGGACGGTTTTTGTATTACACCCTGGGATGACACCCTTGGGAAATGAGCCATGGTTCAAAATAGCACGGTTTGATCTGGAAATGTGCCTACATGGGGTCAATAGCACGATCCCCGAAACCATGTCCCTAACGGGGGCTATGCGGGCGGAGGCTGTCCCTGGAGCGCAGGATAAGCCTAGCCAAGGAAAAGCCCTTGAGGCGGGTTAATAAGGACAGCCCCCCGTCCCCATAGCCCCCCCATTCGGGGTCCATGATTCTAGATGTTCAAACGGCTCGCTTCCGATTTGAGGGGCCAGAAAGCCAGGCATTAAGCTTAATTCAAAGATCTCCGCACTCGTCCGCACTGTTTGGTTCGCTCCCCATGTGGACGTGCCAAAAACCATGTAACCAAACATGTTGTTTATCACTAACATGCGAAAGGGGAACCGAGCTTGCACCGAGGAAATCGCGACGATAAAAGGGGAAACCTGGAAATCGCTTCAGCGTAGCTTTTGGAAACCTCGGGGCGCGGCGGTCCTCTGTGACCAGAACTGTTGGGTTCAACCTCCACAGAATGGCCTTGGGACCCAATTTAGACGATCACCTTTCTCTTTTGTTTGTTGTTTAAATGAGAAACAACGCCATTCTGGGTATCCAAGCAACATTTGACATACCGTGGATGGTTGCGAAATCCATTTCGCACCACGAAATTAAACCATGGTTGAAACCATTTTTTGTTGGTATTTACGTTGGAGAATCATCAGAAACCAGGGTTTCTTAGGTGGTGCAGGATTTCGTCCATTGACCGTAGTATGCATGACTCGCTTGCGCCTGTCGCACCCAAGTGATGGAACTTGGGTGACAAGTTGAAGGGGTTCTGACAGCCAAAGCGCATGATTGTCCTTCCCCCTGGTCCAAATACCCACATTGCTCAGCTTATGTTTCCGGAAAAGCCCAAGGCTTTTCGTAGAAAATACCTCCTTCCCTGTTTGCCATCATACCCTTTATCATAAGAAGAGCTTTGGCTTTGGGTGCAATGTCGACCCTGGACTAAACCCTTTCAATTAATAGGGCCCCCCAAAAGTGAAGGCTCTTTTCGTAAACGGGACACCCCCATTCAACGGGCCATCTGATTTGAAACTCACTTCTTGAGTGGATGGCCCAGAAAAAGTCCAAACTGTTTGCTTACCTCAAGTCCGAAGCGGAACTCAGTTCCGTTTTTTGGTTCCCTCTCAACCACCCAAAGAAGGGTAATTACCAACTCAAAAAGTACGAGTGACACAAACCAACCAGAGGCTCCAATTTGATTGATTTAGGGCCTTCAAGCAACCTGGTTTTGAGACCCCCAACCACCGGGGGTGTCTAATGCAGGGGTCGGGTCTTCCATGGAAAGCCCCAGGAGCCTCTTGGCAACTAGCCAAGCTGCCAATCGGTAGATCGGCGACAAAGATGAAAGTCGGGGAGTTGGGGAGCGAGATCGAGCTTGAGCTGCGAGACGCTGCGGGGATTCTCAGGCACCTTCGCGGGGCTCATCTTCGTTGGTTGCGACTTGTGTCGCAAGAAATGGCGGGAAACCCAAAGGAGATCGTTGCGACAAGGGAAAAACTGGGCTGATTGTTTTTTTCAATGCGATTTGTCCATAATGCCTATTGGAAAGCCACTAGGAAAAAATGACCAAATCCTGACGTAACCCTTTCGGTCCTTTCGGTAAGGATTCGGGATTGCCTTGGAACTGCGCCTGAGGCTCCCAACTTTGGGACCAAAATAAGTTGTTGCTCAGCAGTCATGAGTCAGGACCCATAGCAACCTCGGACCCCACATTCACATGGACCCTTGATCCTATACGGAAATACCCTCCCACCAAACATGGAAGTGCACAGACCCCCTTTCCAAGAGGAAAGTTGTCTTTCTACAGGGGTTTTGGCACTTCCATGTTAGTTGGCGGGAGGGTACGTCATATGTGTTTGTTTCTATCTGTTTGTTCAACAACATCTTGGAACGGTTCGGGTTTCATACGAGTCGTATACGCAAAGGACCGGAAAAGATGGTCATACGGGCACATATGGCCAAATACGGAGGGGTGCCGAAAAAAAGGCCTACGGGTGCCAGAAAAGCTATATATATATATATATGTATATATATATATATATCCAAAACAAACGCTGTGTCAGGGGGATCCTCAAACTGAACTGGTGGTGATTTCTTCGGCCAGCGCAAATTTTCGTCTCCTTTCAGGGGCCCCTGCTTCTTTCTCGTTTGCTCGCCTGACCATGGCAAGGGCGGTTCCAACCCGAGGGAAGGCGCCTGGATGGATCGACCGACCGCTCACGTTGAAAGGCCCCAGCCGGATGTGTCAAACCTCTGGGGAAATAATTCGATGCATGCGAATGACCCCCTCTGTGAATATGTCTAGGTCCTTAGAGAGGTTAGAATAAGGGTACCAACTTCTTTCTGTATAGTCTATTTTAGTAGGGGAACCCTCCCAACCAAAAAAGTGGGTAAAAGCTTGGCACCTAGCTGGGGGACCTAGATCCATTTGCCATTCGGCTGTTCCTGGGTTTTTTTTTGGGAGGGCTCGCTGTAGACGCCTTTTCTGGCGTGTCACCTGCCCGCTTTGTCAGGTAAGACAGCGTAGAAGACCTGAGGTGCGCACATTCCAAGGGTTGAACGACAGGCAACTCGGCCGGGTGTTTTGGGGTGATTTCCTGTAGAATGTCCTGTAAGGAAACCCCTTGAAACATCGACAAGGTCGCGGGGTTTCCCCGAAGTGCAACTCTCTAGAGGCTCCGAAGTGCTAATCTTGTGGTAGGCAACCGATCAAAGTGAGGTCCAGTTCGGCACGGAGATCCCAGCGATCCACCGGGGGATCGGAAGGTCCCAAATAGGAGGTTCAGGACACCTGAAGTGCCAGTCTTTTCGTCTCCGAAAGAAGCCTCTCCTAGGTTCAGCAAGGCCAACCACCGGCTCGGCTTCTTTCGAGGATCCGGCGGCGGAGTCCAGGAGCTCCAGGGTGCTCAGCCCTCGAGGCTCGAGGGGTTGGGAGGGGTTTGGAGGGTTTGGAGCTTGGGGCCCCACAATCGGAAAAGGGGTGGAACAAAAAACCAACCTGGAGTCTCCATGACCCCTTGAAAATGGGGTCATGACCCAGTATGTTGGGTAATGACCCCATCATGGCGACTCCAGGTACTGGTGGTTTCCCTTAAAACTGCCACACCTTTGCCCTTGAAAACTGTCCTGCTTTTGGTGTGGAAAAACACCCTCCTAAGAGGGTGTGTGCGATGTAAAAAGGGGGTTGAGAAAGCGTTGTAGGCCTTAATCCCATTTATGCCTCAACTGGTGGCCACGTAGGGGGTTGATTTAGGCGTGCCCGTTTCCACGCGGGACCAGTTGCCGGAAGCACCAAAGGACCCATTGTTTTGCCCCATGTTGAAGCTAGATTTCTATTTCACTTCCGTGGATTCGCCCCAAAACCTCCAAACTTTCTACTGGTCCACACCTACCATGTGCACAGCCCGAGCCCCAGAACTCGGAACTTGGGGAGCTGTTCACCTTGGAGACCCCACCCCCCTCGTGGGAAAGGGGCGGGATCCACCAGAAGAAGCCTGTAAGCCCTTTAAGGATGGGCAAAGCCTAACAGCCCTAAAAACTGGATTCGGCCAACCCCATATTCAAATAGTTCCAATCCTTGACATATGACAAACCGAGTTCGACAAAATCAAAACAACCAAGAAGACAAAGAAACCCATGCCAAGAACAGCTCCCTTCCCATCAAGCGGATTGGCAACAAACAAAAAGCCCAAACCTTTCCTTTCCCAGGAAAATGGTCCGTACCCAAACCGTCCCCGGAACTCGGGGAGTGAGACAGTGAACGAACCAAACCGCCGTCCGCCCGGGCGGCCTACGATGTCCCGGAAGTTGGGGCGCCTGAGGATACGGCGCTGCTTGCTGCCAAATTGGGGAAGGAGAAATGGGATGACCCCTAGAAAAACCATCCAACCGGTGGTGTCCTTTAAAGGGACTGGATGACCCCTGGAAAAACCATCCAACCGGTGGTGTCCTTAAAATCGGGACTCCCTGGGTTCATTCCCAGCTTCCCTACTGAGCACCAATTGGCGCGAAGCGCTGGGCTCATTTAAAGGGGATTTGCGGCTTATTCATTCCCACATTGGCGCTTTGGAGCCGAATCGGTGGTTTCCGTTAAAGGTAATTTGGGAATTTGGGGTTCATTCATTCCCACCTTCTGTACTGAGCACCAGCAAGTTTTGCACATCCCCGGCTTCCATGACAAAAGCCGGGCCTCGCTAATTTGCTATTTTGTACGCTCCTGGCCAGAAAGGAACCCAACCACAGGGTCCATTAAAGAGCATAGTCTTCCAGGACTCAGTCAAGTTCCATAGTGGACAGGAGGGCAGTTGGGTGTCTTTCTGTTGATACCACTTGGGATGGCTTTAAAAGGAAAACCAAAAAGGAAACTCACCATTTTGGGGCCAGTAGTGAGCAATTTCGCGGGTCCCAAGCAAAGGCAGTTAATGGGGGTGTGCGTAGACGTATCAAAAGGCTCGCCAAAACAAACAGGCAAATCCTGCAAATGCCAGCGCTGGAGATATATGCCGGCTTGAATCTGATCATAGCAAACAAACAAGGGCGGTCCCTCTTTCAGTCGGGGATCAGAGTGGGACCATGTTGGGGTTCCCTTAACTTTCAGACAAACCCATTCATATATGTGCACATGTCAAGGTGGGACCTCCAAAATAGGGCCTGTCGTTCCTTTTGGAACCCCCGCTAAACCAACAGAAGAGGGTACCATGGCACCTCAACCAAAAAAGAAACGTTAGAGGCCCGTTTTGGCAGCCAAAAGGACAACCAAACTCCATTGCGGGTCCGATTCCCATTGTGACACGGCTTTTTTCCACGGCTTTGCCTTCAGGCGTGCTCCGGCGCTTCGTTGTGGTTTTCTTTTGGTTTCCCGTGTTTTCTTTAAACCAACCAGAAACCACTCAGCAAAATCATTCACCTCGGAATTAACCCCAAAAGGCCACATGGACCCCGCGGGTCCCCTGAAAATATTGTTTGCGGTTTTCTTATTTTGGGGCTGGTTTCTAAACCGGGCACCGCGCGGAAACCACGGGCCCCAAATGGCTGTGGGTGAAAAAAATATGTACCCAAAATGGGGACATTTTGTTAAATGGAAACATGGATTAAACCTGTGGTCCCATGACCCACAGCCAATTTAATTCGAGGTCCCCCCCCACCAAAAAAAAGCACCTCGATCAGAGCGATCGAGCTTTTAGCCTTCCCTTTTGAGGTGAATCTTCAACCGGGCACCACGATGACCAAGGGCTTTTCGAGGTCCCCCCTCCCCCCACCCCAAAAAAACAGCCCTCGAGCTGACCGAGATCGAGCAGATCGAGCGGATCGAGCGCGGATCGAGCGCGGATCGCCTGACGCAGCAGCTGCTCGAGGAGCAACTGCCGGGGCCCCAGCTCTGCAGGGACCACCTCCCGCCTCGCTCGGTCACTCGGTCCGGGCGAGCGAGCGGCCTGACCCCCAGGGTGGGGGGGTTGGGGAGTTGAAAATGCATAGACTCTGGGTCTGTAAGGATTCTGGTGAGGCCTATATAAACAATCTAGCCAACATGTTACCATGTAATTGAAGCCTTTTTTTAACAAATTTATAACCATTGTAACACTTGTAACCATTGTGCCCGTTTGTCTAAAGCCGACCGTTTGACTTTTCACCCGTCTGCTCTTGGTCTCTGTATGAATCCAGGTTCCCAAAGTTACCTTTCGGTCAAGGTTCACCTGTTTGGTCGGGTTCCCCCTGTTTTTTTTCCTCCTTTTTTTTTCTGTTTTGGTTTCTTTATATATATATAACGAAAGATAGTCGAAACCCCCATCTACAACGTTGGTCAATGGGCGATTGGGGCGCTGAGGTGCAGTTGGCATGCGCGCGAGGGAATTCACACCTCTGCGGCCTAGTAACGTGCGACTCCAGGGGCTTTACATGAGTAACGGACACTGATATTTCCTGGTTCATTTGGGTTGGCCTATCTGGTCGTGTACGGAACCAAGGCCCTCCCAAGTCAACCATAGACTGCCACTCTTGTCTATTGCTCACATGTTGACACCTAAGGCAGGCGAAAACCAAACAACAAGTCCACTGACTTTACTATAAAGGCTCTCTTGAAGCGCGGCCCATGTCTCCGGAAAAGGTTTGGTCAATCGGGTTTTCACAAATCCGTATTCGCAAACCAAGGTGAAAAGGACCAATTTCTTTTAATCCAAGGGAAGGATCTTGCGAAGTATCATCGAAGTATCATAACGCTTGCTGATTCTCAGCAGAGAATGAGGGAGTGACTCCTAAAACAACCATCTCTTATGGTTTCCTTTAAAAACCTTTTCAAGCTCCAATATTCTTCGGCCAGACCCATTTTTCCACCACCCCGTGTTTTGATCACCTGGTGCATCCGAAGCCCCCGAAAAAACCAAATCCGCCGGGCTCCGCCTGGGTCGAAGCCTGGGCCTTCTGTGATGACGAAGCGCCTCAGTCACGGCCCACTGCACGCAAAATGCACCAGCTTTGATTGGTGGTTTCTTTCTTTTGCAGCCAAAATGGGGTTCAACGTCTTTAAAGCACCCCAGAACTCCATTCTAATCCTGTCGTGACAAAAGGGCAACTCTGAGAAAATTGGTGGTTTCTAAAGAAAAATGATGGGTGAGAGGAATGGATCGAGAACCAACACTTGGAGATTTGGGTGGTCTTCCAAGATAGAATTCAATTTGCTTTTGAGTTTTTCAGGCGAAAGCCAATCAAATATGCCCAAGTACCGATTCAAAACGCGCAGAAAAATGACGCGTATTCTTCAGCACATGGAAGTAAAATAGTGAGAAGTCATATATAGCGATTGTAGGTTTCCTGTCGTTTTCCTTTGGGACCAGGGCTTGGAACATGCAATATACCGAAATCACCCGCCACAAGGCGACCCTCCTACTCATCAACATGGGGTTTATCTATCTCAATTTCTCGATAGCCAAGAAGTGACTTCCGGTGTTCGTTTCATGATTTTCACGGGCCCGCTGCCGGCCATGAGACGCCGTTGGAGTTGGTACCCTTCGTTTATGCCTGCCAAAAGGACAACCGCCATCTTGTGGGGTGCCCTAGTAAAAGACACACCCGTATGCAGCCCGGAGAGTTCTCCTAAAGGCGCCGAACATTTTGAGACAAATGCGCACTATACCCGGCCCTAGTAGCATCCATGTTTGCTCTAACTCTTCTTGGATCACTTCCTTCCATTTCCTTAAGCCGTTGGAAATGCAGTAGTGATAGGTTCTCTTTAAAACAAACAAGGGAAAATAGCAAATTGAAGCTTCTCTATAATCCAGCGTGAACATGAAGAATGTTCTGTGTTGCCTGTCCAGTAGTGACAAGCTCCCGTAAAAAATGCAAGGGGAAACTAAAGACTATCTGTGTGTGTGTTTTTAGTTTTTGCTTAAGTGGACCCCACAGCATGACACAACATGATGGCTTTCCTTTTGGTTTCCCTTTGAAGCCACCAACAAATAACAGAGCACCATGCATCGGAGCATGCATCACTGATTCAAATAGATACTGAGGGCTCGAAATACCCACCAAATCTCGCTGAGGTGCCATGAACACCTCGCCGTTTCTAAGGGCCCTTGCTTCCCTGCTGTCTTTCCTCTTAAAGCCACAAAATGGAGGGGACCTTAAACAAAACATACACCCGTGCTCCCACATCCTCAGCTTTGGTCCACAACCGAAACTTACCTACTACCGCAACCTCAAAATACCCGCTGCTGCTTGCTAGTTGGTAATTTTTGGAAGACCTGGCGTTCCAAGGTAAATGCATGCTTCTTGGTCAAGGATTGACATCACACCCTGCAAGTGCGTAGGGTGCTTTGAAGATGTAAAGTCAAAACCCGAAAGAGAGCTCAGCCCGCGCGAGAGGGTCACCCTTGATCGCAGCCAGCGGCGTGCGATTCGACTGACTGCTTGGATGTTCGGCCAAGTTAGCCACCTGGGGTATAACTTTAACCTACTGTTGAGTGAGTTGGGCCGGTTGTAAGTAGGTTACAACCAACTAACCACTTACTAACTTGGCCATGAGTCAAAAGCACTAAAATAGGTTCTAAAATTGGTGGTGCACCTACCCCAAAATGGGATCCCATTGGTTTTGACAACCACAACCACTTGGTCAACCAATAATCTACTGTTGAGTGAGTTGGGCCGGTAAGTAGGATATAACCAACTAACCACTTCCTAACTTGGCCATGGGTCGTACCCCCAGTGAACATCCGATTCAATCCAACCACTGAAATAGGTTCTAAAATGGGTGGTGAATTCACCTACCAACCAAAATGGGATCCCATTGGTTTTGACAACCACAACCACTTGGCGAATCCGAGCAACGATTCGGGCCGGTAAGTGGGTGATAACCAACTAATAACCTACTTTTGAGTGAGTTGGGCCGGGCCGGTAAGTATAGGTTATAAAATTAATAAGGTTACTAACCACTTAATTACTAACTTGGCGAACAAGTAGGTTATCAGGTAACTAACCACCTACTACCTGGAGTCTCCATGACCCCTAGAAAAACGGGTCATTGCCCAAAATAATGGGGTCATGGACCCATTTTTAAAGGGTCACGGAGACTCTAGGTATGTTTGGCGAATCGAGCGCGATTCGTGGGCCCCCCGGCAGCTCGTAGAGTTGAGCTACAAGCGGCGCTTCCAGCCCGAGCTGCAGCTCGGAGCCGCGCACGGCGCCTCGGGGAAGGACTCGGCGAGGCTCGGGGTCGATGGGGTCGATGGGTTCGAGGACGAGCCAGGGCTTCCCAGGGGAAGATTTACCTTCCTGGAATGAGGGTACCAACTCTTGTATGCAGTCTATTTTAGTAGGGGAACCCTCCCAACAAAAAAACGTTGGTAAAAGGGCACTACTGGGGAATGTAGCAAAAAACAGTTGAGGACTTAGGGTTTTCTAGGGGTGAGACCCTCTCTTCTAGAACTGTCAGAAGGGTCCATGAGAGTCTGGGTTTCACGGTTCGATAGGCAGGGAATGACATGGGAAAGCTTTGCCTCTCTTCGTCAGACATTCAGAAATCATACCCTCCCTGAACAAAGATGGGCCTTCTTGCTGGATCGATAGGCAGTGAATGATTTTGGAATTACCCTAACCATCCTTTTTCAAAGGTTCCTACAGCTGCTGATTCATGCCACCAGAAAAAAGCAAAAAACAAAATGGTCTCTCCAAACCATCACCGGTTTCCTAGGTTGAGAACCAGCAACATCTCAGAAAAAAAATCACACACCTCTGGGGGTGTCAACCTGGGTTTAGTGGGGAATGGGAGCACTGTTGGAGGGGAACACCCCCCAAGTTTCATGAACTAGTTGGTTGATTAATATGGGGTGAACATGGGATACTGTGGATGGACGAAATCCTGCACAACTGAAGAAACCCTAGAATGTTGATTCGCCTGTAAATACCAACAACAAGCAATAGTTTCAACCATGGTTTCATTTCGTGGTGCGAAAATGGATTTCGCAACCACCCACAGTATTTCCCACTCAATGGCTACCCATGGTGCAGGAATTTGTCCATCCACAGTATCATTTGTTTGGTGGTTTCCCTACTGGACATCCCAGACAGCTTTCAGCTGTTGGGGAAACAGCGCACCACTGGCGGGGTGGGGGGGAAGCCTTTCACACTCTCTGCTGCCCGGACAGCTGACGCTCACGTCCAGCATGCCGCTCAGCGTTCCTCGCGATTTTCGCGAGGCTTCGGATTCAGGAAACATAGCATCCTGGAGTCTCCTTCTGACCCCTTAAAAATGGTTGGTCATACCCAAAATTCATGGGGTCATGACCCCACTTGCTCGGTTGCTTTCTGCTCCCCTGCTAAAAAATTAACTTTTAGTGGTTTAGTGGAAAACCCATTAGTTGGCAAAAAGTTACAGTCCTAACAGCCAAGCAAAATGCACCAAAGACTTTTAAAGGGTCGCGGATTCTGCAGGAACCCGAACACCGGAGAAAAACAACGAGTCAACGCCCAAAGGGCCCAACTCCGGGGTGCACCAAACATGGCATGTTCAGAATCTGAACCTCATATTCCTTAGTGGAACCTAAAATGTTGGACAAGTTTGTTCAGAATCTGAACCACATACAATTTCTTGGTTGACGTTGGGTTTGGGGAGCAACAAAGATTGCATGTTAGCAGTTAAGTGGTTGGATTTCGACCACTAAACCACAATAAGCAAAAATGGGAAAAATGTGTCCCAACAACAACCATGATTTAGTCCCGTCCCATTACTAGGGGGTGTTCCCTCCACAAGTGGTCTGAATCCCCACTAAAAGGGGACACCCCCCGATGAAGATCAACCAGTTCTACTTAGATCCGGGGTTAACATCACTCCCCACTTGCGAATTTGGGCGTATGGGCGCCACCCTGAGGAGGCTTGGGCCCAAAACACCACGGGCATCGGGGTTAACCTTGTTTAGTCGACCCTAATATGTCAGACAAGCTTGGACTTTGGGCCCAAAATGACGCCCGCACAAGCTCCGGACTTTGACTTGGATCCACCAGCGGAAAGGCGCAGGCTAAGATCGAAGAAACACTGCGATCAAAAGGAGTGTGGACGAATCCCCCGAGCTGAAAAATTCAGAGTGCCTTCACAAAAGTACCCAGTGGATCCATTTGCATATGTAATGAAGGGAACCACCCTTCAAGATGAAAGAATATGGAAGATGGCTGGTGGCCTACAAATGATACCGTATTGATGGGAGCTTGCCAGGATCCGGTGGAGATACATCTGCAAAGATTCCCAGCATGAGCAGGAGGCTCTTTCAATCATGGTTCTTATTCGGACCATACGGGGCTCATGTTGGCACACGTTGAAAGGGTCCAAAAGGAGCTAATCTGGGTTGGCATGTGCTAGAGGGAGTGATGTCGGAAACTTGTGCAGTTTCTCAAACGGCAAAAAGGTAGGTGACAACCAAGCAAACTTCTTACGCCGACTGGTAGAGGCCGTCAATTTGCTTATTCACTCGTTGGAGTGCAAGTTGTGTTGAAATACCCGCGTCGATTCATCTGCTTGCTGGAAAGTAGACAGGTCAAGGGCGAAAGGGGAAAACCAAAACAAAGGTTGACTAATGTGCAGGTGTCCCTTTTTGGTTGGGATTCGTCATTTTTGGAGGGAACACACCCCGAATCATAGGACGCTCAGAAGTGTCTACCGTCCAGTAGCTCGGGAAGTGAGATTGGAGTATCTGCACCCTCAAATTTCCCTTAAACTTGTGTGATTAGTTCAAAAGAGCAGGTGTATACAATGCCAGGACACTATGAGACGGGATGTGACAGACGCAAACCTTAACTTCCATTGGGATGGTTTGAGGGATAGTGGCAACTGTCCACAACCTGCCAGGAAGTGAGCATTCTGTTTCCTCACTTCCTGAGCGGGTCTGCAACCAAGAGGCCAAACTGTTAACCTAACTTATAGTTAATTTTATCTTCCCAAAACACATTGTTCCAAAAAAAGCTGATCTTATCTTCTTGTTCCAGTTTTAATTATCTTCCCAAAAAGCTGAGTCCGAAATCTGCCAGTCTTGTTCCAACGCATTCCGAGCAGCTGAAAGGCTGCGAAGACAATGCCGGCAAGTCGGGCGTTGCCTAGGGGCGAAGACTCCCTACCTCGAAATGGGAGCGGTTTTTGTTTTTTTGTGTTTAAGAAGCGCTTTACCACAATCCCAGAAGGGGTTTCCCCCAAAAAGACTCTTTTTTTAAGGGAGACTCGGTTGTTTTGGGAAACCACTTCTGAGATTGTGGTCAAGCTTTTTTTATACTCACTTCCCCAGTGGGTTGGCCAAAAAAAACAAACTTCTTGTTCACCAACAAAATGGTCTTCCCAAAGCCAGAAAGCGTAACGTTCAGGAACTCAGGGAGTAAGCTTAGGGAAAACCGTGTTGGAATGTGGTGAAGGGCAACCAGAAGGAAATCCACTATCGCGAGGGTCCCCTAACCCTACCAAAACGACTGTTGAAACTTCTTGCAGCATCCAACACCCATTTCAACCCCTCAAACAAAAAACTGTTGTTCAAAAATTGGTGTGCTTCAAATGCGGGAAGCCCATATAAGGATATATGTCCTTTTGATTTCCCTTTAAAGCAACCCCATAAAAAAGGGGGCTCCCAACAAAAAGCAGCGCACATATGATGGATTGGGGGGGGAACCCTTGAGCAGGGAGACCCCCTCAATCGGCCAACTTGCTGCGAGAACTGACTCACCAGGGCCCATCCAGCGACTTGGGCGTAGCCGGCACATAGCCGGCCTTGAATAGTCATAAGAATTAGAAGGATAAGACAAAATTAAAGTTGTTATTATGATTATTCATAAGTATGCAAATGAAAACAATAACAATCATGAAGCTGAGTATTACTATGGTCATTAGTAGGTGAGTGCTTTAAATGGCGGCTGCCAAAGGAACACCGCGATTGACCTGCCATTAAGAGGGGGGACTCAAACTTTGCACCCGGTGGACCTCAACTTTTGCCCAAATCATGCAAACCCGTGTCTGTCCCATATTTAATAAACCTCAAATGCAAAAGATCACGTCAAAATAATCACTGCTCCAAAGACTGCGTTCAAGGCCGCTACTTTGAGGCAGGTTGTCCTCATGGCGAACACCGCTTCTCAATCAGGGTGTTGACATCATACCCACAAAAACTTTGGAATTATGGAGTAGCAAGTAGGTAAAAAGAAGTCCCAGGCATTTGCAGATAGATTTGAAGGTATGGAGGCTTATGTGGGTCTCCCATATTTTGGGGGGGAACCCCTTTTGGAGGGGCTTTAAAAGGAAACTCATTGAAAGGAAACCAACTATTTTGGGGTGCTGCGCATTCCCCAATTTAAGACAAACCCCTAGAACGAATAACCACAAGTATCAGATTGAAAGGCAATGCACGGCGGAACACCTCCATCTCCAAAATATACCACGAATATATAAGCTTGTTTGGCAGCACCCGTTATATCAATGGATAAGCTCCATACCTCCAGAACCCGTTCGACAGCTCCATGGGGCCGATGGGCAGTACACTGCTCCGGCAGGAGCACACCATCAGGCGCCCTCAGCACCAGGTACCCGCCAGACCTCAGCACCAGGTACCCGTCGAGGTCAAGGGTCCTCCGTGGGCATTACCCTATAACAGCTACTCAGCATACTTGGGTGTTCGATTTGCCAAGCTACTAAGTTGGTAACCGAGATAAGGAACCCACTTATGAGTCCCCAAGTGGGGTTAACACCTTGTTGTAAGGGGGTTATAACACAGACTAACTACTAGTAATTCAGAAACTGGCTCCAAGTACCACTACTTGATGCGTACTTTAGATTGGTAGTTTAAGGATATGGTTCCCAAGCGCCAAAACGGGTTCCAGGCAAACCCCTTTCTCGAAAACGGGCAACGGCCCCGAAAACTGGTCGGGTTCCTTTCGGTTTACAGGGTTCCCTCAAAAACAAGACACACCCAGATGGGGATTCCTTGGTGAATTCAACGCTTTCCCCCAATTTGGTACCCTTTTTTGCCACTCTGATTTGGTACCACCCGTCTGCGTCCGTGCACGTCCGCAAACCCCCGCAGAAGCACGACGACGTTGGAATTTGATGGCCTGGAGAAGGCCCGGGCGTTTTTTTTCCACAGCGATCCTCTCCCACAAAATCCCAAGTTTTTAAGTCGATCCACCTAGTGAGTGAGCTGTTTTCTTCGTAGCCTTCCAGGTATCAAGCTGACGCTGAGCGTTTTACGCGCCCCTTCAGATTTGGCTTCCGCATGCGCAACACGGCGACGGGTTTCCTGTTGGTTTCCGCGGGCAAAGTGATTGCTTCTCACTATATCCCCTGCTCCAAATGCATTATTTCCCCCAACAGCTGAAAGCTTTGGGGTCTCAGGCCCAGATAGGCTCCGGGGTGGTTCGGGGCGGCCCTGACGTAAGGTTCACAAGGGTTCCACGAGGGTTCCACCAGAGTTCCACCAGGTTCTGCGAGGGCTACGGGGTGGTCTGGGGTGGTTTGAGGTAAGGTTCCACGAGGGTTCCACCAAGGTTCCACCAGGTTCTGCGAGGGCTGCGGGGTGGTCCGGGGTGGTTTGAGGTAAGGTTCCACGAGGATTCGCCAGGGTTCCACCAGGTTCCCGGGCTGGCTTGAGGTTCCACAAGGGTTCCACCAGAGTTCCACCAAGTTCTGCGAGGGCTGGGGTGGTTTGGCGTGGTTTGAGGTAAGGTTCCACCAGGGTTCCACCAGGGTTCCACCAGGGTTCCACCAGGGTTCCACCAGGGTTCCACCAGGGTTCGTGGTGTGGGGTGGTTGAGGTTCCACCACAGTTTTGTCAGGGTTCCACCAGAGTTCCACCAGGTTCGGTGGTCCGGGGTGGTTGATCTAAGGGTTCCACCAAGGTTCCACCGGTTCTGCGAGGGGTGGTCCGAGGTGGTTTGAGGTACTCTGCAAGGAAGCAATGTGCCGCGCGCTCACCGTCTGAAAAGCCATCGGAGCAGTAAATTGAGGGCTCAGAAGATCGCTTTTGCTCATGGGCGGAACACTAAGCAAAACCGAAATCAATGGTTTTCAGCACAGACGCGTTGGCTTTGTGGCAAATCAGATCACGTTGCTGCGGGACTCACTGTGTAGCAGAGTAAATGCTTGGCATTTCTGAGTATTACTTGGTGGGCTTTGGGCTCCAAGGGTTCCACGAGGCTGCGAGGGCTACGGGGTAAAGTTCCAAAAGCGCTCCACGAGGTTTCCACCAGGTTCTGCAAAAGCTATGGGGCAGCCCTGAGGAAAGGTTCCAACAACATTTCACGCTGAGCTCCACCGACAGTTCCACGAAAACGGTTTGCGGGCCCAGTCGGGCAGGTACCGTCGGGCCCCGATCGGGCCCCATCAACTACCAAGCTGGCATCGCCTAGTTTTGCTAGATACAGTTGTAAGGCCGCATCCTAAGGAAAACCGGCGTTGAGCTATAATATGGGTGGCTGGGGTTGGTGGGAGCCCGCTTGCGCCACGGGACCATCGGGCCCGGTCGGGGCCCGATTGCACCGTCGGGCCCCGTCCGGCCCCGCTCGGTCGGGCCCCGCTCGGGCCCCGATTGCACCATCGGGCCCCGATCGGGCCCCGATTGCGCCGTCGGCATCCTCAGCAAAACTGGTGGTGAGGTGGGTCCAGGCGAGTTTTGCGAGGATTCTGGGAGGGTGTGGTGCTGTTGGGGATATGAGCTTATTATTTGTAATTGTTTTTCCGGGTTGCATTTCGAAGACCCAGGTTTAACTTATGGTAAGTTCCTCCCATTTTAGCTATGACACACTCATATCCTATCATACCCTAAAACTCTCTTCCTGAGCGGATCGGAACCAGCGGCAAGCTCTTCGACCGCTAAAACGGTTCGAACCCAAAGAAATCGAGAATTCTCCGAGCCACGGAGCTCAAGGAGTGAGCCCCGCCTTTTATCTCCAACCTCAGCTCCCCCCCCACCTTCCCCCACCTTCCCCCCTTATCTCAAACCTCAGCCCCACCTTCCCCCTGAACCTCCCCCCCCAAACCCCAGCCAACCCCCCCCCCTTTGGGCGTCTAGGATCCAAACTCCTTTCGCCGAGCCAAGCTGCGGGATCACAGACTGAGACGTGAAGGTGAGCAGCACGGCTCGAGTGCTCCCCTGAGAGCCGAAGGCTGGGAGCACCCAAACCCGGGGGGTCAACCCCCGTGAAAAAACAAAGGCTGACCCAATCTAGATGATGATAATCCTTAGATAAACAATGTGTTTTTTGTTTTTTTGTGTGTTAGTGGTGGATTGAACCCCAGGGCAAACTCAGCTATGGTTGAAACTCAAGCTATGCCCTGAGTCAGCGCAAACAACATCTGGAGCGTTCTTCGTAAAACCAGGCGCTTCACGCAACATACCCTGCTTTCTTCATGAGAGCTTGACATTATGCAGAATAAGAATTGGGTGAAAAAGGTCTTCTCTTACCCACATGGCAGCTGACAGGCCCGAACAAAGAAGAGACACATTGTCTTCAAGGCACATGCATCGATTTGCTCCGAGGTGAGCTCACCATTTGGAATGTCCAAACTTCCCCGATTGCAGGAGAGCAAGTAGCAAGTAGCAAGTAGCTCCAGGGAATCGGCCCATTCCCATGATTAGATTATGCTCCAGCATAAAACTGGGGCTACCCAGAGCCATGCTGTCAGGACGTAAAAAAAAGCAGCACCCATGTGTGGTTGTGTATGGTTGAGATTATCCCCTTCTAACCTTCATCTACCCGAATCGGCTTTGAGCAAGTGGCTCAAATGACAATTCAACCTGCACGGGTGAACCCGTCAAATGAACCCCCAGCAAGCCGGCCGGATAAAATGCGCCACAAGAGGGCGCTTGCCCAACCCTTCGCCAAAACAAGACCGTGACACCGAATTTCCCGGGCGAAACTCGAGCAAACTGTTTCGTCTACAATGCTGCTGAGTTTACTGGCCAAAAAGGCCTATGGCGTCGCCTATGTTAAGACACCATAAGATTGTGTCTGAAGTAACTTTTGGCGGGGGAACCAAAAGGATGGGAAACGCAAAGGGAAGCCACCGGATTGGATTCCGATGCCAGAGAAACCATGGGTTTGGTCTCATGAAGAAACCGGTGCACAAAATCCATTTCGCACCTCCAAAGGAACCCAAAGAAATGATTCGACCCAACGAAAAAATACCAACAACCGTTTGTCCATCAGCAGTATGTCTGGGGAACCCCAACTTGACATCCAACAATCTCCAGGCAATCGCCTCTTTTTCGAGCCGGTTGTAAGTCGGCTATAACCCAGGTTAGTAACCACTTGCTAACTTGGCGAATCGAGCACCCCAGTCGTAGCCCTTGCAGCTCTTGTCAAAGGCTTGTGAAAAGGTACTTGTTTGGGGGGTTCTTAACTAAGGAGGGGACACTTCCCCAAACTGACTTCCAACTTTCGTCAGGGGTTGACAGCATACCCCCTCTCCCCAGGGAAGAAGAAGTGGCAACAGGTGACCTTTTTTTGCCAAAAGTAGATGGGCAGTGGAACAAAACCAGTCAAGATCAAAACCCGCGGATTCCAGCCGAAGGACACCCCAGAGCAAGGAAAAGGGAAACCCATCCCACTTGGGATTCTACCCCCTCCAGAAAGCCGATCAGGCGATCAGGCGAACAAGAAGCCCAAGGGAAAACCGGCCACTGGGATCCCATCCTACCCCCCCCCTTCCCAAAAAAACAGGCAGGCGATCCATCACCCATTTTGGGGATCCTGGATCCTCCCCCGGCCACCCCTCCAGCAAAAGCCGATCTTCGTCAGGTCGCATTGTACCAGTGGCCCAGGTCTCGCAACTCCGCCTGCCGCGGTCTTCTGTAAGACTTGGCTCCATGTCGACGATAGGGGATTTATCGCTGGAGGAGAAGAATTGCCTCCCCATATTAAGAAACAAGGGTTACGATAAATCCGGGGTCAACATGTTGACCCCATGTGGCCATGGGTCAAACTCCCCACTAAATTAGATTAAAATGCGTGGTGCACCTACCCCAAAATGGGATCCCATTGGTTTTGACCCACAGCCATATGAAACAAAACCAGTTTAAACTCGAGAAAGCTCCTCTCCAAAAGTGGTATGATTCCCCACAAAACCCAGAAAAATGGGGTTGACTAATAGGAGACCCACCAGGGAATGCTGTTTGGGAATTCAATATCCAATGCTTGAGACTTGTCTCAAGAAATGAGTTGTTCTTGGGAACCCTTTGGCGGACATCATTTAGGTTGGGATTTATCTCCATCCACAGCCGCAAAATCCGGAAAGGGTCCCAATTTGCGCATGTCCTTTGGGGGACACATTCCTCATCTGGCGCCAAGCATCATTGATGAGGGCTTCTTCATCAAAGGAGAGGAATCTTTCTGGCAGTAAATGTAGAGGATCGGGACAAACTTCCAGGGCTGTGGGAAATGACCACTTCTGTGATACAACAAAAAGGGACCCCCCATAAAAAGGGGGAGATTCCCTTGTAACACAGAAGTGAGAAAAACCCCTTGATCCCACAACCCTGGGACAAACTAATATCCCTGGGGTTCAAACCCGTAAACCTATGGGGCTTAGTATAAGCAGTGTCATCATCGGTCATCATCTGGTAAAGCCTAACTTTTTCAAACCCAAAGCTACCCCCCAAAAACAAGGGAAAGAGCCTAGATGGGTGTGCCGACAATTTTGAGGGAACCTTTTGGGTTTCTGAAATAATGAAATAGTTTGGGGTTTTCTCTAGTTAAGCATCCCTAAATGTTATCGCTGTTTCCCGCCAAGGGTAGCTTAAAGATCCATGGCAGCCAAGCATAGAACCCCATGTGAGTCTTTCTTTGAAGCCTTGTCTAAAGAAAAGATGGAACTTCAAGGGTCTCAACACCTGCGAATCAAAAGCTCAACTTGGACCGGAAATCATAGGATTGTCAGTTTCTACATACTTTGACGACCCATAAAACGGTTTTGAAGGATACCGCTGATATTTCAGGGCTCCCTCTACTCCCCCCTTAAACATCACCCCACCAAAAGGAGACCCACTTCAAGTTGGCCATGTTGGCTACAATGTGATGCGTCCAACGGCCAAAAAGAACTAGAGGGGGAACCCTGGCAATAAATACCTCCTTGGCCCAAGAACAAGGTGGAGACTAGCTGTCTTCCATTTGAATACGACCCCCGGAAAAAATAAAAACATATTTCCAGTAGTGATAGATTCCCTTTAAAACCAACAGGGGAAAATAAAACACATTCTTAAGCAAATGGAAGCTATCCCCCGTCCAAACGAGTTGAGAACCACTTCCGAAGCCGGGAGTATAACCCACATGGCGTGCAACCCCTCCCGATCTGACTCAGACGCCAGTCATACATCCTAAAGTTGTGCGGGCCCCTCCAATAGTGATCCCCACTAAACCAGGGACACCCTCCTATTGGTACACCGCCCCTCACAAATATTCAAGCCACCTCAAGTCCAAAGCCTTCTCCGGTTCGACCCCTTCAATGGCTCCTTTCTGCCTAGTGAGCTTCTGAGCCGGGGTTTCTCTTATGGGATATGCTGATATGCTGGGCCACTGGCTGGGTCACCCCCCCTGATGCTTTGCCAGTTTTTTTTCCTCATCCTGGGCTCCCGAGGAATCGGTTCGCCTCACCTCGCGTCGAAGCGACCCCCGAACTCGCGGCCTCGAAGGTGCGCAGCGGAAGGCTCATGGCCCCCACGGCGGCGTAAGAGCCGACCTCTAGGCCCCAGCCCGACCTCGCTCGACGATCCGCCGCTGCTCGCGTCGTTTTTTTAGCGTCCAGGGACGAGTTGGTCCAAAGTGTCTCGTGACTTGACGAGGTCCCGAAATACTTGCACACGTGAGGTTCGTATCATTGCTCAAAATGGGTGTTGATTACTTTAAACTGTGTTTAAACTTGTTGAGATGTGTCTGTCCGTGTGCACGTGTGTTTGTGTGTTGTGTGCATGGGTGTATGTGTGTGTGTGTGTGTGTGATTCGCGTTTGTGTGTATGGGTCTATGTGTGTTTGCGTTCTTGCGTGTATGTGTTGTGTGCTTGCCTGCCTGTGCGCCTGAGCGCTTGTGCGCTTGTTTGCTTGTGTGATTGTGTGCTTGTGTGATTGTGTGTTTGTTTGCTTGTGTGCTTGTGTGCTTGTGTGTGTGTGAAGTTGCATGGTTGGTTGGTTGGTCGGTCGGTCGGTCGGTTGCACTGTTGGTTGCACTGTTGGTTGCGTGGTTGCGCGGCTGTGTGGTTGCGTGGTTGCGTGGGTGCGGGCAGGGCGGGGCGTGGAAGGAAAAATAAGAGGAAACCCGGAACATTTGCGAGCCCCCTATGTTCACTCATACCCATTTTGTGGCTTTTCACTTTCTAGCGGGTTCCGTTGGCCACTCACAGAAAGTGGCAACCTATAGCTAGGCTACGCAATGTGTGGTTAGTGACCCTGGTTAGAACAAAGATATCCTTTTAACGGAAGAAAAGGGGTTATGATACCAGCGTTACTAACCACTTTCCTGACGATTCTGGTTGAAATCCCAGGGGTGTTGAAGCTTTATCCTCCCTATCCCTACACCCTTGAACCTACCAAGTAGGGTGTGTGTGTGTGTGTGATAATGGTAAAATGCTGCCGCCAGAGTGATGCTTCAACAACCACAAAGAAGGAACATTCGGTCCCCTCATACAGAGACGCTTTTGGCAAACTTCACCCCCCGCTAGCATTGGGAGCTTTAGACTGGGAAATCAAGAGTCACCTGAGGACTTGCCCTTTCGGCATCAAGGTTCCGTTTGGCCCCCTCAGAGAAACCCAAAGCATTGAAGTGCGAGGATGTGCAGAGCAACAGAAAGAAGGGGAGGCAGAGGTGCATAACATGACCCCTTGTTGATCCTTGTTGACTTACCCAAATGCGAAAGAATGCAAGCAGGCACAGCTGGATTTTTCACGCAGGTATCCATTCAAATCGGGGTCCAGTCAGCCTGAGCCGGTTCCAAAAACATCCCGAAAAGCTTTGTCAGCCTTCTGGTCGTTCTTGATGGCAAAAATGATCTGAAAGAAAGCATCGCCCTCCAAGTTCAAAGCCTCCTTGAAAGCTTCTGCCACTCGCTCAGGAGGATGCTTTCGAGCACCACAGCCCCATGCTGAAAGAACCAAATGACGATGCCCATGAAGCTTGCAAATACGAATGAGGCCGCGCACGAGAGCGAGCAAATCATCTCGGTATTTTGCTGAACCAAAGGTTTCCGACTGCTTGGCTGGTGAAACTTCCATCGGTGGCGCCGCTAGAATGGAGACTGGAAATGGGCTGGTAGGCTGGCTCATCACGCGGAAGACCATGACTCCTCGGACGTGCAAAGCGGTGTCTCTGCTGATGGGGAAGCACGTCCTGGTGACCTCTTGAAAGGTCGTGTTTCGACAAATGTCGCCGAGCAAGGAGTTTCCCATGGGTCCTGCTGAACCGCCTGCCGCCCGGCGATTGCAACCACATAGCCTCGGGTTGGCACCAACATAAATGCCCGCTTCTCAAAAGCGTGGATTCCCTTGCTGTATGTTTTTCTGTTTTTCAGAACCACCACTGCTTGGCAGGGTTACTTGCTGGTGCTCAGAAGGAAATGTGGGAATGAACCCAGGGGTCCCCTTAAAGGAAACCACAAAAAATGGCTTATAAGGGTCATTCCCTCATTCCCTGCTGGGCACCAGCAAGGTTACGGAGGGTCATCTGTTGAGAAACAGACACAGTATCTGCCATTCCGGATTTCCAAGTGGCACTACTGGGTCAGCATCAAGATATTGGTGCGCGACCCACAAAGCATCTTCGTGAACAACTTGGACTTGAGGCACGCGCGCTTGATCCCGTTGCACTTGTGTTGGAGGATCACATCCAATCTCAAGCCTGTTGATGTTGCTATAATATTCTATCTTCGGCCAGGGAAACTCCCTTGCAATCTCGCTTGCTTCTTTGAGTATCCTCCCGTCCCAACACTCCCAGCAATAGCTGCAATATACTCTCCCACGTTCATCACTGCGTCCTTGCATAGCCTCACCACGACACTGACGGCAATAGTGCATCTGGACTCTCTGAGAACAGGGCTCATCCTCCAAGCCCCAATCCACCTCCTCTCCGGAACCCAGTGCAGTCGTAACATAGGTGGAGCAAATCACTCGTTCAAGGACTGACCTTGCCGAGTTAGCGTCAAAGGCAGTGCCACAGGCACATACAGCACCCCTGATGCAGACCTGGCAGTAAGAGACATTGTTCGCAGGGCCGAATCGAGCACATGATCGATTCTCACAAGTTACATACTTCACGTTCAAGCGGCGATTGCAGGCAAAGCAAGCAGGAAGCTCCAAGGATGTCTCAGATGTATAGCCGGACATCGCGGCTGTCCGTTTTCAGATCCAACTAAAAAGCTAAAATGCTAACAAGCTGAATGGCTTGGACCCAAGATACATCTGCAATCTCGAGCAACTGCGGCGGAAGTTGCTTCTCAACTGGATTTTTGTTTGCTCAAGGAGAGCGGGAAGCTTCACATGTTTCTGCCCCCCAAAAAAGACTTGGGCTCCCTACAATATATCCCCTTACAACATCACCCCCACCAATAAACACTCACCTTTCATGGGCCAAACAGGTGATGTTTACAACCACCAAAAAGGGAAACATAGGGAGCCCTGAAAGACTTGACCATAATTTGGCCACTTTTCCAAGCCTAAGATGTTCAAAAGCGCTCGGAGTCCAACATAGATCTCCCCTATCTGAGTCCGGCAAAGACTCTGGCAAAACACCAGGGGAGTCATCTACGGAGGATCAGTTTGATGGGAAACCCACCAGCAGGCTGTCAGCCCTTCAAACAGCTGAAAACCAAAGAAGTCATCTGCTCGGTCTCGGTGTTGCAAGACGGGTATCTGCATGCACCATCTTTTTTTTGAGTTACAGCACCCCGTCTTTTCTGTGCTTTACAAGAAACACAAGCTCAGGTGATATCCCCAACAGCATGCGGTGCTCTTTTTAGTGCTCGCACCACCCCGCAGCCCTCGCAGAATCTTGTGGAACCCTCGTGGAACCCTGGTGCAACCCTGGTGGAATCCTGGTGGAACCTTACCTCAGGGCCGCCCCGGACCACCCCGGAGCCTATCTGGGCTGAGACCCCAAAGCTTTCAGCTGTTGGGAAAAAGGGAAAACCATCATTTTGTGGAATTCCCCTGCAAAGGAGAGACACCCAGGTGACCCACGCTCGCCACAAAGCGCATTTGTGCAGGTCCAGTGCCCTCGATCCACTTTCAGCGCCGCCCCCAAGAAAGACTCGGCTCAATAGAAGGCCCAAATGCTGAAATCACCGGAGCATGGACTCATGGATTTGAGTTCTTCTATCAGAAGCCAAGAGCAAGCACGCCAAGTGGCGAAACATCCATTTTCAGACGCACACCTGCGGGCTTTCAGGGGATTGCCCGGTACGGGAGGTCGTTTGGATGTCTTTTTTGGAGTTGCTACCCCTTTTTGTGGGGTGACATGGGGAACCAGAAGGAACACCGCCGCGGTTGGTTCGAAACCAGGGACGAAATAGTTCCGAAAGCTCCGGGGCTGCCAGAAACGTTCTCAAAATCTAAGATGATTGGTTCACTACTCCCAAACCAATACCTCCACTGGCAAAATGGGGAATATAACAACATCATCACTGCAGGGTCATCTAGCCGGTTTGTTCCTTTGGGCTGGTTTGGCGGTAGTGGCCCCGGGAAATATGCGCTGCTGTGTGAATCAAGCGTAGCAAACGGGACATTCGCCACACTCACCGGACCAGCACAACATGGGGCAAGCGCTCCGATCAAAACTCCGAGTTTTCTCCCCTGGCTTTCGGAAAACTTTGTGAGTGCCCTGGATGGACCATAGACAAATCAAAGAACTTTCGACCAAACCACGTGTCATTTATTTTGGTTGGCGAGTGCGATGAATATTGACTGTGGCTCAGATGGATATCAACATTGCTGAAGAGCCAACATGAGCCAACACATGGGTGGTTGCCCTTTGTGTTTCCCCAAGAAACTGACCCCAAAAGCCAATCTGACACGGAATGGTGGTTTTCGTCGTTGTTGCCCTGTTGACCAACCGAACGTTTTGGTATCGACTCAAACGAGCAATTGGGTTTGTCCTTTTCAAGGTTGGACCCTCCCCCCCCCAAAAATGGTGGCTTTTCCTCTTGGCTTCCCTCTAAAACCACCAAACAACAATGGTACCCTCACAATCCTTCCCTCTAAAACCATTAAAAAGACGGTACCCTCACAAAGCTTCCCTCTAAAACCACCAAAAAGACGGTACCCTCACACCGTTTTCCTGTAAACCCACCACACAAACGGTGCCAACTAACGAAAAGACACCAAAATCCATCGACACAGGGCCCGCGCTGCTCCGCGGTCGCGGCCAGCTCTTCCACTGAGGGATTCCTAGAAAGGGAAGGCCAAGGTCCAAGGGCCACTTCCAAGCCTGGAAATAATCCAGGGGACACTTCCCACGCCATTGGTGGTTTTCTAGAAAGAAGGATCCCTGGAAGGAATGGGGAAGCTACCCTTAGAGAATTGAATCCAACACGCCACATGACTCTTCTACCGGTAGCTTCCATTTCCATTCTTGGCGATCCGAATCTTTCCAGAAAACCATCAGAACCCCAGGTTGCAAACAGCGATCGGTGTTTGAAAAGAACCATGGTTGAAAAGAATGGAATCGGAATCAACCCCTAGAACAAGTTGGCACTGGTTGTCTGAAATAGGAGCAGGAACCCCCAGGGTTCAACAGTTTCGGGGCTCTTCTGGTACAGCTCCAAGCTGCTTGAAATTTGAAACAACCCCTAGAAAATCAAAACCCTTGCCATTTTGGAACCAAGGCTCACTGCCTGAGTGGGCCCAAAACAAGTCACCGAACTGGATGGGTTTACCACTAAAAAGGTCTACCCAAATGGCTGTGCCTCAAAAAAGCGGTACCAACATGGCGCCTTGGTAAATGGAACCCAAGACTAAAACACACGTAACCCCAGGTCTTTGATTTTGAGCCATAGCCAAATAGTTTCAAGTCCAGGAACTTCTGGAAGTGAGAAGGAAACTTCTGCAAGTTGTGCGGCCCCCTCAAAAATATGTATATCACATCCCAATGACTCAAAAATGAGTTGTTTCATAACATACTGTGGATGGGCGAAATCCTGCACCACCTAGAAACCCTGGAATGATCATTCCCCTGTAAGTAACAACAAACCATGGCTTCCCATAGTTTCAAAGTGGCGCAGGATTTCGTCCATCCTCAGTAGGGAGTCCCCATTGGCCGCTCGGAACCCTGCTGCCACGCGTTGCGGTGATGTCAAGCCCAACACCCGAGTTGCATTTGCCATGGGAAGCTAGGCGTTTGAACATATACATCCCTACAAAAGAAGGTCCACAGGGGGTGTCTTCTTTGGAGGGTGCCATAAATATTTGGTGGTTTTTAACGGAAACCAACCGGAAAACAACAAATGCGTGGAGGGAAAGAACAAAAAAAAACACGGCGTGAAAAGAGGACCCAGCATGGGCTTGAGAAATGTTCGGACCTGTCGGTGATATGGAACTGGGATTGCCATCTCCATGACTGGTTTACAAGCCCAACTACTTGGATGTTCGGCCAAGTTAGTAAGTGGAAATTCGATTCCCCTGGAAGAAACCCTGGAAGAATTCGATTCCCCTGCAAATACCAACAATGATGTCCCATGGCTCCAAAAGTGGTGCAGGTACTAAAATGGTCTACTTCGATTCGCCAAGTTAGTAAGTGGTCAACCACCTGAGGTATAGCCTACTTATGAGTGAGTTGGGCCGGTTGTCAGTAGGTTATAACCCAGGTTACTAACCATTTACTAACGAAGTGCATTGCCCGAATTTAGGTGCCACATGATTCTTCCACCACACACCCAAGGGACCTACTGATTCTTCATTACTTACTATTGTCAGCTTCCCACAAATTGGTGGTTTGGTTTGGTGCTTTGGAGGTTCGGGGGTGGTTTTGCCTTGACCCTCTACAAGAACCAGGGGTTTAAATCCCCTAGCCACAAAACCCAACCACCAGCTAAAAAACATACCTGATATTGATAAGGGTCATCCACGTAGTCTGTATATCTCCTCTTGAAACATGATGCCAAAAGGAAACTCATCATTTTGGCCACAAAATGATGCTCAAGCCAGCCCCAAAACCGAACACATTGTGCCGGGGGCCCAAGCGACCTGGAAATAACAGGACGGCCTCATCAATAAGTCTAAGTATTGAAAGTCTAAGGGTGTGGCTGGGCACCTTGACCAAAATATGGACCGAACTGGGCAAAAGAACCACAAAAACCCACGAAATTCTGGTTCAGGGATTTGACCATCCACGGTGTGGAGGTTGTCGACTCATACAAGACCTACTGCCTTACAAGCTCATAGTTGTAGTAGAGCCTCCATACCTTCCTGAGAATGCACTTGTTTGATCCCTCGCAGTTGAAGATGGATGAACCCCTGTGCATACCAACTGGGTCTTCTGCATGGATCCACATCGCTCGGATCGGACTGCCAGTGGACTGTTCGACGCTTCGGCCAAGCAGCACAGCATGTATCGCGAAGAAGTTCCAGGAGGTCACGGCCTCGCGGGAAAGGAACGTGTCCACCAGTCCCGTCATGTCCCGTCTCTCAGGGAAAAGGATGCACGGGCTTGTCTTACAATAAGCCCCCTCGCCTGGGCCCTTACCTTTCAGAACAACTCCCGGAAAAGGTGCCGTATCAAAAACACACACACACACACACACATGGCACCACAGAGGTGTTTCTCAAAATAGGGACCTATGTTCCGAGATTGCTTTAAGAGAAAACTAAAAAGACACCGTAACGACCTCCAGGAGTAACACCCCCATACTGTCCAGCAAGCCAGAGAAAATCAACATTTAAGTCCTGAAGCGCTGATTTATGGTGAGCCTGACGGATGGTGCTGAGTGCATTGGCGCGAGACACAGTCTGAACTTTTGTTTACCACTAAAATTATAAGAACCCATCTCTAGGGGAATCCTCCAGGAAACTAGCCAACCATTTCTTAGATAACATAGTTTTCCCAAAAGTAAAGGCCAAGTCCAAAACCGCAGGGGGTGAGGTAAAGGGTCATCCATCTCCTGCTCGCAAACGCGATTGGTCCCTGCCCAGCCAAATAAAAGGCGCTTCGATTCGCAGAGCCGGGTGTTGGGAGTGTCTACCCATTTGAGCGAGCGGCAAAAATTCAGACTGCGTGGGGCGATTTCGAAAAGGAAGTGATTGTTTTATCATCGAAGACATATCCCAGGTCCTCCAGCAGGGAGGTTAGAATAAGGGTACCCTTTTTCTGTAGTCTATTTTAGTAGGGGAACCGAATCTCTCAACCAAAGAAGGGGTGAGAAAGGGCAGCTAGCTGGGGGAAGCATCTCTGCACCAGAGAGTTTCGCCTCGTACACCTGCTCTTAGGGGACCCCCCCCCCCAAAAAAAAGAAAGAACAAAAAGTGGGTGCCGTTTAACCAGCAGTGCCAACTCAAACAAGACAGACCGACTGCCAACTGCGCATGGGCCCACAACACTTCCCTTTGGGTTGTTGCAACCCAAACCTATGGTTGGTGAATTCGCTTTCTTATGGGTAGTTGTTTTTAGGGTCCAGGCACCAACTCCAAAAAAAACAATTGGGCAAACAACATTTGGGTATGGGCCGTATGGGTCAAAATTAAGCCACCTGGTTTGAGTCATGGGTTCCATGAACTAGGGTTTTTTCTTTGAGGACCTATTTGTGACCCACAGCCAAATAAAGGTGTCTGTTTTTGAGACCCTTTTTCTGTTGGTGCTTTAAAAGGGAAACCCAAAGAAAACCCTGCGCCATGTTGGGGGTGGGTTTTCTGCTAGAGCCCATGTTGAGTATCCATTCTTGACTCACTTGCCCAAATAAAAACCTGGAAATAAGAGGCGATCACGTTTTGGGGTCATGACTAAACATGGACCAAATTAGGAAACCCAAAAGGTCGGCTTTGGACAACTGAGTTGACCCAAGCCGTGTGGGCCTTCATGGTCCGGGTGATGTTGAAGCTGATGGACCGCCCGTCCGGGTTCACCACGCAGCCCGAGAAGAAGCCCGCCTGGAGGCTTCAATCGACGGAGCGCGAGTTGGATGCCAAGCCACGAACCAACCAACAGGTGAGCTTAAAACCGATCGGTACAAAAATGGTGAACCCAGAACCATGTAGAGAATTAGCAAGGCGGAATTCCGCAACTATTTCCAGCTGGGACTGGGACTGTTACTCACCTTCATCTGCCCGGGTTTTGATTGTGGCTCAGGTTAGCCTTACCAATCATCTGGGGGACACTTTTCCCCATTCTTTCCAGGGATCCTTCTTTGTGCAGAAAACCATCAGAAATTCAGGGGAAACAGTTGGTTGTTGAAAAAGAATGGAATCGGATTCCACCCCTAGAAATAAGTCTAAGCCCTGAAAGTCTAAGCCCTGTGGCTGGGCACCTTGACCAAATATGGCGCCAGGTCCTCCAGTAGAGAGGTTAGAGGTTAGGAAACCCGATCTTTTTTCTGTAGTCTATTTTGGTAGGGAACCCTCCCCCAAAAAAAGGACAAAAGGAACTACTGGGGGACCTAGATGGACCGAACTGGGCAAACCACCACACAAACCATGAAAATTTGGGGATTTGGCCATCCACGGTGTGGAGGTTGTCCACTTCTACAAGACGCACTGCCTTACAAGCTATATGATATATTTTGTGAAAAAGCCTCCATCTTCCCGAAAATGCCATCTTGGGTGCCGTGTTCATGTTCATGGACTGGTGTTCCTTTTGACGTCCGTTCAAAACCAAGGAAGGGGTACTGTACCACCCCCGGAACACCTCCAGACCACCAAACCAATCCACCAAATTGGTGGGAAGCAATAGTAAGTGGATACTCAGTAGATCCCTTGGGTTTGCGGTGTGTTGGATAAATCCAGTGGAACCTAAACAGGGCTGCGAACCTCCAGACTTGGCAGCTGATGGTAGCTGGGCTTGCAAGTCATGAGGATCATAATCCCAGTTTGATACTGTAGACGGACAAAATCCCTTCGCCCCACGAGCTGAAACCATGTTTGAAGCCATTGTTTGTTTGTATTTATGTTGGCAAATCATCCAACACCAGGGTTTCTTAGGCGGTGCACTCTGTCCATCCACAGTACGGGTATGTATTTTAGTAAGGGACGACCCCGCATCTACTTGGTATGGGCTTGCAAAACAATGACTGCGTTTTGCAGCCCCCCCCCCCCCCCAGTAAAAATGAACAGAACCAAAAAACTGAGAACAACACACACACTTTCCAAGAACAGTGAAGCTGGTGAATATCAAACTTCGGTGGGGGGTGCTGTTCACCAACCCCTTTTGAGGTGGTTCCCCATCGAAATCATGTTCGTGCTGCTTTTTTGGGGCAGGGATGTCTTGTTTGGTTCTGTTTGGGGTGTGTGTTTGGGAGGTCCGCAGGTTGGTTGAATCCAAATCTTTGTAGCAAATCATGTCGACCTTTTGGATGGAAACAATGCCTGTTTTCTACTTACCCAACTTTAACGGGCTGTCCAAACTGATCCACTGCAACAAGTTGACCCTTAACTGGGTTAATGGAAACACCCACTAAACCCGAAAAAGCTTAAACACCCACAAGGACGGCAGGAACCCGCCAATTTTTGTTCAAGGGAAATAACATGGCAACTCTCAGGGCGTCATCAACATGTCCGCCCGTGCTTAAACTTACTTGAGTTGAGCAAAAACTAAAGTCCACCCTTTGCGTCACTAAAACGGTCTTCCCAAAAAGCTTGAAGTTGAGGAACTCAGCCCGTGCGAGAAAAAAACAACAAGAAACAAAAATAACCAACAAACTAGACGACGAGTGGCCCGGAAGCATAGAGGCAAGTTGATGCAGGTGAGGTAACTCTCGCAAAGTTAGCATGAGGAGTTGCCTGGCAGGCGAAGCAATTCTCAAAAAGTTGGCATGAGCAGCTGGCAGGTTAAGTAACTCTCGAATAGTTGGCTGGCAAAGTTGGCGGGTGAAGTAATTCTCGCAAAGTTGACATGAGAAGTTGGCAGGCGAAGTAACTCAAGAGAAAAGTTGGCATGAGAAGTTGGCAGGTGAAATAACTCTCAAAGAGTTGGCATGAGAAGTTGGCAGGTGAAGTAACTCTCGAAAAGTTGGCGTGAGAAGCTGGCAGGTGAAGTAATTCTCGAAAAGTTGGTTGGCACGAGAAGATGGCGCGTGAAGTAACTCTCGAAAAGTTGGCGTGAGAAGCCGGCAGGTGAAGTAACTTTCGAAAAGTTAGCATGAGAAGTTGGCAGGCGAAGTAATTCTCGAAAAGTTGGCGCGAGAAGTTGGCAGGCGAAGTAACTCTCGAAAAGTTGGCAGGCGATGTTGGCAGGTGAAGTACCTCTCGAAAAGTTGGCATGAGAAGCTGGCAGGTGAAGTAATTTTTCGAAAAGTTGCCACGAGAGGTTGGCAGATAAAGTATTTCTCGAAAAGTTGGCATGAGAAGTTGGCAGGTGAAGTAATTCTCGAAAAGTTGGCAGGTGAAGTTGCCACGAGAGGTTGGCAGGTAAAGTATTTCTCGAAAAGTTGGCATGAGAAGTTGGCAGGTAAAGTAATTCTCGAAAAGTTGGCATGAGAAGCTCGCAGGTGTAGTAACTCTCGAAAAGTTGGCATGATAAGCTCGCAGGTGAAGTAACTCCTCGAAAAGTTGGCACGAGAAGTTGGCAGGTGAAGTAACTCTCGAAAAGGTGGCATGAGAAGCTGGCAGGTGAAGTAATTCTCGAAGTTTCGGCATGAGAAACTGGCAGGTGAAGTAATTAACCCTCAAAAAGCTGGAGCGGCGGAGGCGCTCCGCGTGCTACATTTGCAATTGACAGTTGCGATTTTCCAGCCATTTGTATCTAAAAGTTGCGATTTTCCAGCCGGAGCTGCGGGAGCACGCTCCGCATACTACGTCTGTACTTAAAAAGTGCGATTTTCCAGCCGGAGCTGCAGCAGCCTCCGCGTACTACGTCTGTACTTAAAAGTTGCGATTTTCCAGCCGGAGCTGCAGGAGCACGCTCCGCGTACTACGTTTGTACTTAAAAGCTGCGATTTTCAAGCCGGAGCTGCCGCGGACCAGGGGGGAATCGAACCCGGACCGCGGGATTGCGAAAGCAGGCGCGCAACCACGAGACAACTTCCAAAGGCCGTTTCGCGAGCAAGAAAATCGCACGGCGCCACAGCGAGAGCGCTTCGACACGCACGATCTCCGCAGAGGGTTCATCGGGCTCAAGACAGATGCGCACGGCGCCACAGCGAGAGCGATCCGACACGCACGATCTCCGCAGAGGGCTCGCCGCGACAAGACAAATTCGCACGGCGCCACAGCGAGAGCGCTTCGACACGCAGGATCTCCGCAGAGGGTTCGCCAAGGTCAAGACAAATTCGCACGGCGCCACAGCGAGAGCGCTTCGACACGCAGGATCTCCGCAGAGGGTTCGCCGCGACAAGACAAATTCGCACGGCGCCACAGCGAGAGCGCTTCGACACGCACGATCTCCGCAGAGGGTTCGCCAAGGTCAAGACAAATTCGCACGGCGCCACAGCGAGAGCGCTTCGACACGCACGATCTCCGCAGAGGGTTCGCCGCGTCAAGACAAATTCGCACGGCGCCACAGCGAGAGCGCTTCGACACGCACGATCTCCGCAGAGGGTTCGCCGCGCTCAAGACAAATTCGCACGGCGCCACAGCGAGAGCGCTTCGACACGCACGATCTCCGCAGAGGGTTCATCGGGCTCAAGACAAATTCGCACGGGGCCACAGCGAGAGCGCTTCGACACGCACGATCTCCGCAGAGGGGTGCGTTTCGTAAGCTCCCGTCGGGCCTACCCCCGCCATAAAAAGAAGAAGAATTAAGAGTCGAGATGTGAAGGTAGAACAGAAAAGTTAGCTTGTGTTTTTAGGATAGTGAAGTAACACCCGACAAATTAGCTTGTGCTTTTAGTAGAATGAGATAACAGCCGAAAAGTTGACATGAGAAGTTGGCAGGTGAAGTAACTCTCAAAAAGTTGACATGAGAAGTAGGCAGGTGAAGTAACTCTCGACAAGTTGGCATGAGAAGTTGGCAGGTGAAGTAACTCTCGACAAGTTGGCATGAGAAGTTGGCAGGTGAAGTAACTCTCGACAAGTTGGCATGAGAAGTTGGCAGGTGAAGTTGGCAGCCGCTTTTAGAAGAAGAACCCTTCGCAATGCTTCCGGGAAAAAGCTAGCCATGTCTCGACTTGTTTTCTCCAGGGTGGCTCCTCAGCCCAGGACCCAGTTGGATACACAGAACGGGGACCTTCCAAGGCGCCCGTTGAAGCCAAGAAGTTTGTCAGATTCTGCATACTGTGGATGGTTGCGAAATCCATTTCGCACCACTAAGAAGACCTGGTTTGGGATGATTCCACAACGTAAATACCAACAAACAATGGTTTCAACCATGGATTCAAAGTGGTGCAGGAGTTTGTCCATCCACAGTATTTCTCGAGTCCCAACACAAGTTTGGACTGAGCTGTCCGTTTTCAAATCCACGCTACAAGCGTAACTTTTAGTGGGTGAAATGGAACGCCAAAATCGAACCCCACCAAAAGCCTAAGAGCCTAAGAGCCTAAGAGCCTAAAAGCCCAAGGGAACTGACGGCTAACCGGCCGGGAACTGATCTCAGTTGGTGGAAATCCAAGTTTTCAAGCTGACCCTATGCTGTGACCTCCAGATTTGAGAGGTTAGAGGTTAAGGAACCCGATTTGTTTTATGTCTTTTTTGGTAGGGGGGGAACCCTCCCAACCAAAAAATGGGAGAGAAAGGGAACTACTGGGGGACCTAGGCATGCTGTGACCCCATGTTCAGAATCCCACAACCCTTTCGTGGTGGTTCACTTCGAATCCTGAGGACACTTCTCAGAGGAATCCCGGCAATGGGACAAGCAACCCAAACAATTTCTGCGGCCCGGATAAACGCATGGTTGACATTTACGAGGGACCACACACACAGTTAGAGGGCCTCTTAAAAGCAAACACTGGCTTTGCCATCGTAATTGTACTTCAAAAAAAAGGAGTGTTTGTCCATGAACCGGGAAAAAAAAGAAGACGAACAAAAACACGTGGGTGTTCAACCATGGCGCCCGTTTTTTTTCCCGTTTCACCGACTCCAGCTTCGGCTGCGGCTGCGGCTTCGTCGAGTCCCCGGCCAGAAGGAATTCCAAAGTGCGCCCCCCCGGCAGCAGCAGCTGCGAGGCTTCGAAGCTGCACTCCTCAGCATCCGAGGCGAAGCGGAAGGCATCCGGATGCAATAGAAACACCGATCGAGCAATTCGGTTTTGGACAAGGGTTCAGTCCGGAAGAGGAATGGCTATGATTTTGAATAAGGGATCCTTACAATAGAAACACCTGAACATTGCAACTTGTAAATGGTGGTTTCTAACTTTATGTTGGTGATGAAAAATTGCCACATGTCTCAAATGGTTGCAAAATGGAGATCTTTTAAGGCGCCCTGAGGAAGCGGAAGGGAAAAACCCGCAATTCTGACGAGAAGTGTCCATGGGAAAATTTTGGGGTTGAGGCAGGCTATGAAAAGAATGGTTGGGTTCACACAAAACCACCATAACGTGTACCGTTCAGGATTGTCAGCCATATTGCCAACCATTCTTTTCATGGGGGGTGATGAACCCTAGGGCCTTAGTTGGTGGTTTGGATTGGTTTGGGATTTGAACCCTACCTTTGTTTGCCTCAGGATTGTCATCGAAATACAACGCGGCGATCCTGCAATGTGTCCGTGGGCTCCAACATCCCTACCTTACCGCTGGGCTCCCCCGACTCCGTGGTCTACTCTTAAACCAACCAGGAAAAAGCTAAGAAACCTGAAAGTAGAGGCAAGCAAAACCAGCAAACCAGCACCCCAAGGCAAAAAACATTAAACGCAGCCTATCCCAACAACAACCTATTTCTCTGGTTGGTTCCATGGCAACGTGGAGAGGCAGCATAGATGACCTTGTGGAACAAATCGCTGGCATAAAGAAATGGGACAGAAGAAAAAAATCAGACATTGCCAACCAAACCTAAATCGATAGCAAAAATACATAGGGAGTAACGCAGTGGGGTACCCATCTATTTCTAACCAAACCTAAAACTCAGATGCCCAGTGGATTTCCATGGGAAATAAGGACATCATTTTTTGTTTTTTGTGTTTGAAGGGGAACTCTTCCCAACAAAAAGGGAAGGAACACAAGGGGCGGAATCCACTGAGCAACTGGGAAAAGGGACGGACACATCTACCCAGTTGTTCAGCGACCCTGGTAGAAAACGGAACACACTTTGGTGGATGACCATTTTTACAAGCAAAAAGGGACACAGGGTGCCCACACAACTGGGTCTAGTGGTTACCCATCTACTAACCAGTATTTACGTTGGGGATTCATCCTAGGGTTTCTGACGCTGGTGCAGAATTCCGTCCATCCACATGTTTTTTTTTTTTTGGGGGGGGGGTTTGCTGTTTACTATTTCCAAAAAAGCCTCAGTTGTTCAGTGACCCTGGAGAAGAAAGGGAACACTTTTTGGGGAAGACCGTTTTTAGTGGGGCCACCAAAAAGAAGCTGGAAAAAGAATTGGTGCCACTGAACAACTGAGGTAACAAGCTCCCCGGTTATTAAATGGGGGGGAGGTTTTGCTGGAAGAAAGGGCTCCCCACAACAAAGGGGACCCCCCACGAATCAAAGGTAGGCCTTAGCTGTACTTCCGTTCGCCAGCGGCAAAGTTTGAGCATGAAGCTTGAGCCGGATCTGATCCATGGAGACGCCCGTGAGCATGGCGAGCCGGTGCGAGCCCACGAATTCCATCAGCTTGTCCTCGTCAAGATTCTGAAAAGCCACGAATTCTGGCCCGGTAGACCACCCGGACCGGCTTGGGGAGGCCCTCCTTCTCCAGGAAGTCCTGAGCCTCCTCCTTGATGTCGAGGTAGTCGTCCAGGCGCTTCTGGGAGGCCGTGGCGTTCTTGGGGCCTCGCTGCCTGGGCGCCTGGAGGAGAGGAATCAGCGCCAGCCGGTGCTGTAACTCCACATCGGGGCTGTTGTTGTACAGAACAAAGCTTGGGGTTAG